ACCTGAACATTGCCTTGTGCCTTGTAAATAGTAACTTCCCTTCATTTTGTTGAGAATGCCACGTCTCAAATGGGCAACATGTATCTGTTAAGGAGCCCCCCCCCCCTCAGCCCCTCAGCCGCCGTGGCGCCAGGCCGAAGCCAATGAGCGCCCCAGGCCGCAGCGCAGCGGTGGCCTCTTTGGGCGCGGGGCGCCCGTCCAACGTCACCAGGCCGGAGCCCTTCACCGTCAGCGAGGCGCCTGGCATTTGGGGGGGTCAACTTGGGGTCAAGTTGAACGGTTGGCATCCCAACCCGCTGCCTGGTTGGTTGGTTGGTTGGTTGGTTGGTTGGTTGGTTGGTTGGTTGGTTGGTTGGTTGGTTGGTTGGTTGGTTGGTTGGTTGGTTGGTTGGTTGGTTGGTTAATCGAGCCTTAGCTGGGAACCCAACCCACCTGGCTGGCGGGTTCTAACTTGCTGTGACTGTTAGCCCCGCTTCAAAGAGGGTTGAGGAAAGGATGCATCCCAAAACCGCCTTCGGGGATTCTCCAAAGCTGGGCCACATGCAATCACCTACCAGGGTACGATGAATTTCCTTTAGAAACTCCTTGGCTGCCGTGTTCGTGGGAGGGCACTTCAAGAGGTTCAACTTGCAGGACAAATCCAAAAACCTTAAGGAACTGGATCCTCTCAAGCTGGTACATCCAGAAACCACCTTTACAAGGAACCGGATCCTTTAAATCGTGAAGACACCAGGAGATCGAGATGAATTGCCTCCAGGGGCCCAGGCTCAGGTGAGGGAACTTCAAGAGGCAAGGTGCGTGAAGTGGAGAGCAACCATGCCCAGAAAGCATACAAAAGCCATGGTTCTAGCGTAAGACTTGCCAAGTGTGGATTTGTTTGTGGCCGACCGGTGCCCAAGTGGCACTTCAAGGAGTGACCAGGGCCCCGTGAGGTGAAAAACCGTTTAGGGAGCCGCACAGGGGTCCGAACAGGTTACCCTGGTGTCCGGAAGGGGCCCAGTCGCATTCTGAACTGCTGGGCTCGAATGAACGCGCTTACCTCCCTCAAGCCAATACCAAAGTTACCAGGTACCCCGTTGAGGGAAGTCCTCTTCTCAAAGGGCGAGAGCTTCCAAGCACTCGCTTGAGGCAGGCGATTCCAGTTCAAACAATTGTCACTTCGCCAGAAGTCTAAGTCTAAAACATGCAACCCAAACTGATGTGTCTCAATGGTACCCGCGCCTGCCACCTTGTCGCAAACCACCTCGAAGGCGGTCCGGGAGATGCAACACTGCCTCGGGATCGAGCGACATCCATGTGGAGCTTGTTGTTCTGCAAACAGTAAATTGGATCCATGGTGCTGGGGGGGGGTATGGGCTATCGGCTTCCCACTATTTGGTGGTTTGGATTGATCCAAATCACCAACCAAGAGTTACCTGACTATGTGTGCTTCTTTGACTGGCCCAAATGCATTCTATAAAACGACCTGCCAGCCGGGCGGCTTCTCGATGTCTGGCACCCAGGCCTGCGCGATGCCGGTCCAACGTCTTGAAACGGATCCCAAGCAAAAGTAGCGGAGTAACGGGTCTATGTGTGTCCCAAGTTAGAGCGGACTGGTAAACAACAAACAATATAAACAACCCACCAAGACGACCCACGCAAGCAACTAAGGTACCGAGCCTTAAAACGTCACACACACGCCATGCTGCAGCTGTCCCGGTCCTCAAAGGCTTTCTGTTGGTGGGACCGGCCCACCGCAAAGCTGAAGTTCCCAGGGCCTCACGAAACGAGAAGGGCTGGGCATACATCGAATGGGCTTCTCTTCATTGGGAACCGTTGCAACCCAACCGGGGATTGCAAGGGTGGAATCCGCCGAATTCTCGGATCACCCTGCAAGGTGGCACCCTCCGCGCAACAGTGACTTGCGCGCCAGGCAGGGTAGAACGTGTCCAAATGGGTTTTGGCGTCCTGCGCCATCGGGACATCTCTATTGCTTCACATAGCTAGGTGGCACGGCCATTTGCATTCCTTTCAGGGGTCATTCGACGCTCTCAACTCACACAGTTCCGCGCCCGAGCCGATCCGAGAAAACATGATCAAATGACCGCTACCACAAGAAATCAAGGCTATACCCCTGGAAACTTGCAGGGGTCGCGGGGCTTCCGAGAAACCTCTCAGCATCTCTCAGCCCGATTCGGATCCTCACAACTGATCAGAAGCCCTAGCGCATTACGAGGGCACCCTGAAATGCCTGATTTATCTACAGAGGATTATCGGAATGATATTCCTCAATCTGACATAAACATTCAACCGCCACCCCTAAACACAGCCAATCAAAACTGGAAACTGGTTTTGGCTCTTCTTGGCACCTCAGGTTTCTCTGGTGCCAATCTGAATAGAACAACAGTTCATTTGCCTGAGAGGTGCGCTGCCAAGGAGCCCGACTGGGGCTTTGTCGAAGCCTATTTCAACCACCCAGAATAAACTTGGTTCTCCTCTTGCTACATGGGATGTGGACCGGTTCTCCCTATTCAGGTGTCTCTCAAAATCAGGGACATCCAGTGCGGTGTCCTTCCTTTTTCGCTGTCAAATTGTCAAACCCCACAACAGTGGCCACCCCCCAAACCCACCCGCCCCCCCCTTTGCCCTCCCTTCCGCAACTTTCCCTAAAGCACCCTGTGTTCCAAGTGTTCCTCCCTTCTGGTTTCCATTGAAAAAAACCGCCGGCGCGTGTCCGCGAGTGCCAAGATGTCTCAAGTCCCAGAGGCTGTCGTCCGGCGGCGCCAGGAACAAGCACCGCAGCTCCGCCGCCAGCTCCGCGCTCTCCGCGAACGCCGCCGAGGACACGAACTCCAGGCCGAAGGTGGCGCTGGCCCGCGCCAGCGCCGGCAACACCACCGGCCTGGGCCGGACCGGAGCGTGGCCTCGATGGACCTTGGACTGTGGCCATTTTCCTTGGAAGAAGGAAGCCTCTCGCAAACAAGGCGCTAAGCTGCCCGCAAAGTGGATGGTCACGAAACAGGGGCTTAACCACAATGTGATGAGAACGTGAATGTTTTGTTTAACTTGCTGGGCCCAACCACTTGCACTATTGCCCGCCCGGGCGGCAGAATAAATACGCGGAGGGCGGTGGTGATTCAGTGCCTTTCACGGGTAAACTCCATCAATCCACGGGTAGCCCCCGTCGTTCCACGTAAAAATTCTGGGTAACTCACGGGCCCCCATTGCATGAGCCATGCATAAAAAGGCATACAAATCTTTGCATGTGCCAAGGTAACCTCGGAGCAGTCCATATCCACAGGTGCATCCATCTGCATTTTGTGAATACGTACACGTGAAACATGCCCACTGTGCATGCGCAATTGCTGCACCGGGCATTTGATTTTGCACTCAACTCCGAGCCCAGCTGAAATAATGGTTTCATTCAAAGGTGAGCCCCACTCACAAATGCATCACGCACGGGCACACACCGATAATTGATTGAAACAAGAAGTGCTGGGCAAAGCTTGAGTGCTCAATACCCAACACATTTCCTTCTCGAAAGAAACAAGCTGCTCCCAAAACTGACCCTTTTCTGCCACGCAATGGACGGTGAGCAGACTGAGGCTGCTCAACTGACCCGCGCAATGAAGGTATTGCGCCTAGGCAAAGATTTACTGGCTCAAAATTACCCAACACCTTCAACTTGCGGGACGAATCGCTGGACCCGCTGGACTCGCTGGACTCTCTGGACTTGTGGGACTCGCTGGACCAACTGGGCTCGCTGGACTCGCTGGACTTGCTGGGCTTGCTGGACTTGCTGGGCTTGCTGGACTTGCTGTGCTGGACTCGCTGGACCTGCTGGACTCGCTGGACCAACTGGGCTCGCTGGACTCGCTGGACTTGCTGGGCTTGCTGGACTTGCTGGGCTTGCTGGACTTGCTGTGCTGGACTCGCTGGACCTGCTGGACTCGCCGGACCAACTGGGCTCGCTGGACTCGCTGGACTTGCTGGGCTCGCTGGACTTGCTGGGCTTGCTGGGCTTTGCGCTGGACCCCGCTGCACTTGCCGGTAAACTTGCTGGACCTGCTGGACGTGCCGGACCCGCTGAACCCGCTGGACTCGCTGGACCTGCTGGACTTGCTGGACTTTTACACCAGAAAATGTATTCTTAAGATCACCTGGAAAGGTTCGCTTAAATTATTGAGGGGCCAGTTGCAAAGGGAACCGGCCATATTTTTGACAACCCCAAAGTAGGAAGCACAAAAGACACCGAGTTTTCCCAGGTCTACCCACCCAAAGTTCGCAGAGAGTTTGTGCAAAACCTGGGAAAAAAGAGCTTTCAAAGGCCTACCCGCCCAAAGCACGCCAAGGGTCCGCGGATGCACGGCGTGCTTTGGCTGCAAAATGGACGCTAAGCGTCCATGGCACGGGTGGGGCCCCCCGAATTTTGAACCATTCCACTGGGGGCTTCCTTGAGAACCCCAAGGTTGAGGGAATGATGCGAAGTGAACCAGGTCTTATGGTTTCCTCTGCAGGAATTACCCCCAAAACCTCTACTGACTCCTAAGAGCCAGCGGGGAGTGGGGAGCGGAGTGGCCCCACAGGGCGAGGGTGTATTGACCATGGTGTATAATTACTTACTGGATTTGGCCCCCGGCCCAAAGAGCCAATTTTCGTGGTTGGTGGGGAAATGAACAAGTGTTGTCCGAAGAAGGAACGGCTAAAGGCCCAAATCATGTCTGGCCGTTGGAAAAAACTTCCATCCACCTTGCGCCAACTCTTGGGATGGTTTCGCCAACCTTACCCTCCCCAAGAAAAAAAACACTTTTCGGAGACCCCGCTACCTCAGATGGGTGCCTGTGCTGATTTTTGCGGGCACCCTGCTTCTTTGGGGTTTAAGAGGAAGACACGAAACTTTTCGAAACCTCCCCAAGAACAACCTCGCCAGGCCGCGACGGCACCTTGGCCGGCCTGGCCACGGCCTCCGGCGAGGGGGCTGGTGGCGAAGGCGCCTCACAGAGAGCCAACCCAGGTTTGATGGGGTGCTTGGGGCTCCTTAGCTCCCCAGAAGAAAAACAGGATACCCCTTTTCACCGATTAACATGCAACCTCACAGGAGGGTCCTGGACGACATTTTTTGTTTAACGGGACCAACGTCAGGTTCCATGTTAATTGGTGGGAGGGTAGGTGGTCTCCCGATTGAAATTGATGATCTTCCAAATCTTTGACAATAACATAAGATTGCCGCTTGGCTCATAGTGCACGAAAAACAATCGTCCGCACCACATGACATGGAATCCCAAAGGACGAGCCAAACGTGAGTGTCACAGCAATCACCCCTCCAAAAAAACCATGTATCATGGGACGCTTCCGAAAGTCAACGAACATTGAGCCAGTGCCATGTGAAATTGCCGGGGGCTCCCCATGTGTGTTTGACATCTACAATGTCAATAAAAATGGCTAAACAATGACGGCCAATAATGGCTAATGGTTGATGGCTACTTTACGTTAGGCATTAATGCGATTCATGTACCATTGTGATGGCTAGTGGTTAATGAGGGGTTGTCCAACCATGTCTATCATGTTTACCATCAAATTAGAAATCCTGTCAAACAATGGCTAAAAACAATAGCATATTTTTTATGTTTTTTATCGGCAATGGCGAGTTGATTTTTGTGTCTATCTGGCTTCGCTGAGCCAATCGCGGACCCCGATTGCCATGTGTTCAGGCTGAGGCATAGATCAAACGTGAAACCAAGCTATGCTGGACTTAAGCTGATCTACACCGTATTTTCTTCGAACTGTCTCGCTCATGATGTCGCTGCAAAGCACTGTCGCTGTTCCTCGCTTTGTTTCGTATGTTCTTTCATGCCCTCTGCGATCTCTGCCTTGATGGGATCCGCAATTTCCAGCATCCAAGTCCCAATCCAATTTCATGCAGCCAATTGAATCCTCAGTGCCAGTGATGGACGACTTGCATGGCTCGCCTCTCTTCTCGTCCAAAACACTTGGTCGCATTGCCCGCCAGAAATGCTGCTTCTCTTCTGGGCACACATCTGTTTTGAGCCAGTTGTAGACGAGATTTTGAGCCTTGCTTTTGGCATCCTTCACCAAATCGCGATTTGGCACATCCTTTTCAGGTTGGCCGCACTCCCATCCTTTCTTGGCAACGGTTCCATCCAAGTCAAGGGGAGGACCACTGGACATCGACATCCCGGACCGATTCTGCAGGGCACCGAGGAAGCCTGATTCCTCGTTCTGGTCACGTAGAGCGCCAGTAGTCACAAGAGACACCGCCAGCATGAGGCCACGAGCACTCAGCGCCATAGCTGGGTTTTGAAAGCCACTGAAGTCTGGGGGGGTGTTGAGTCAAAGGCTTGAGCCACATTGAATTATCGTTATATACCGTGAGACCAAGATTGAAATTGATCCCCACACATACAAACTCGCCATCTGCTGCGTGTCTAGATGTGTCTAAACTACCAGTAGGTGCCGGGGCATGTCGAGGCTTTCGCGTGCGAAACAGGCCACGCATTAAGCTGTTGGAAGTGAGATGGAAAAAACGCAGACCTCAGAAGGAGGCGAATGAACGTGTGCAACTCAACCTTTGACAAAGGCGCCACCGCCTGGCTTTTTTCGTGCGTGTATGGCCAACCTCCCAACCCAAAATGTAAGCTGTACCCTTACCTTACAGAATCCTCACCTGCGCAGGCGCCGGCGCCGCTGGCTGCGCAGCTGGCTTTGGCTGCACCGGAGGGTTTGCCGCCTGCTGCAGCTGTGGTTTGGCGGGCGCCGGCTGCTGCGGCTGCGGCTGCTGCGGCTGCTGCGGCTGCTGCGGCTGCGGCTGCTGCGCCTGCTCCGGGCTCACCAAGTGCTGCGGCACTTGGGGCACCGCCCGCATGTGAAAAGTGGAGGGCCTTGGCACGGCAAGATGCAAGTAAGCCACTTGAAGGGAGCTCACCAAACGGTCTCAAGCAACTGGGGCTTGTGGAGTCTGATTTCTGGCAATCGTGACTGGGTAGATGGGGGACAGGTGACAGGTGTGGGGAAAACGGAAGAAATCTACTTTGCAGTGGTTTTGTTCAGGGTCAACAAGGCTACCGGAGCTCTGCACAACCTTCGAGTCTTGGAGTTCGTTTCTGGAGTTTTGGAAAACTGCAGCTCTCAGTGGAGAGTTCAAGACTGGAGATCTCCTGCAAATCCATGTTCAACTCTTGGTTGCTTGAAGGACCCCTCCGCAAAAAAACCTATTAACCTTTTGCGGGTCCAGTCGAACACCCGCGCATTCCACAAACAAAAAGTCTAAAGTCTAAAGATCATAGGTGTCCCGTTAGGGGAAATAGATGGCCCTGGGAGATGATTAAGCAAACCACCAGGTAAACCGGGGCCATCTGATTTTCTACCAAAACAACCAAAAAGGACACCTATGCGAAAGATCCTCAACCCAACAGCAATGGGATCTTGCGGCTTCTCCGTCCGAGGTCCCAGCTGGGAGGGCTTGGGGAAGCGCTCGTTCAGCTTCCGCAGGGCGCGCACCAGCTCGATGAACCGCGGCCGGCCCTGGCCAGCCGCGTTTTTGTCAAGGCCATGGGTAAAGGTCAGCCGGCGGAATACTCGGCGAGCCGTAGAAAATGAAATGGCCATGGGTCAAAAGCCAATCCCCGCTAAAACAGGTTCTAAAATGGGTGGCAAATTCACCTACCCCAAAACGGGATCCCATTAGTTTTGACCCACTGCCAAATCGCTTCAGGGATGCAAAGGGGAAAGCAAACCTTGAGGGTCTTATGGCCTGAGGGCCTGAGTAAATCGGGCTCCACTCTGTTTGGTGGCCATGGGTAAGAGAACTGGTTGTGGGAGACCCCTCCACGCCAACATAAAAGGCCGCTGGAAGTTCTTTCCGATCCGCGTGAAGGCCGCCTCGTCCTTGGCGTAGACGGCGCGCAGCGCCAGCTCCGCGAGCTCTCGGGCCAGCTCCGAAGGCCACTCCGCCTGAAGGGCCCGCGCCCACCTCCCCGGGCCGCCCGGCGCCTTTCTGGGACCCTCCCCCCAGTTTTCGTGGGTTTTCCCCTTGGCTTTTGCCTTTCGAAGAGCCCGAAAAAGAAAAAAAAGAGGCTCCGGGACAGGTGCGAATGGACTTAAAAGGCCGCCTGCCAAGTGGCTGGTTTGGCTTGTATCTTTCCTGGCTTACTTTTGATTTCAGAGTGGCGGAAGAAAGCGGTCCAAAAAGTATCTTCGGTCCTAGTTTCAAATGTGTCCAAAAGAAATGCCATCCAGAAATGGCTTGAACAGCAAATGTCTTATGAAGGGCAGGGGACCAACCACGCTCAGCCCTAGGGGGTGAACTTCCAAGCAAGCCTTTTCGCCTATGTAACAAGGCGTCGACAGAGTCGAGACTTCGAGACTTCGTGACTTCGTGCATCAAATCACCCCCTTGACACATCGATAAAGGCCGGTTCGTTGTTTGCTCTTTCTGGGAGCCACCCCCCCCCCCCCAAAAAAAAAAAAAGAAGGCTGCGCACAACCCAAAGGCTTCAAATGCAACAACAACAACCGGATACTTTTTGGGCCTGGCTGCAAATTCGGGCTCTCAAAACGAGTGGGCAATGTTCCAGGCACTTTTGTGGTTTCATTTAGGGAAAGCTGCATAGGGAAATGCACGTCTCATGTGGCTAGCCTTTTGAAGATTTCAAAAACAAGTTGCAACCATCGCACTGAAGTTGCAACCACCTACCCAAGCTGGTGCCTTTCAAACATGAGCGAGGCTACGCACATGTAGGACAACACCCAAATTGTCTCAATAGGTTTCTGCGACTGTGCCAAGGTTGCGAGTGAGGGTATCTTTGATACCGCTTAAATCTTCGATTTAGGGTTCTTGGTTGATGCCGAAATCCCCCCCCATAAGCAGGAACAAGTCTGAGTAGGAAACTTGACCCTCTTTCCTCTTGACGATGCGTATCCCCTTACTCAAGTCCTGCTGAGAAGTTTGCTGTCAAACCAAAACACGTCTAAAACGATGACACGTTGACGGCTTGCCAGCTCAACACGTACCCAAAGACTATTATTGTTTTTTTCTTTTGGGGGGGTGGTAGGGGACTTTGGTAGGGAGTTTTGCGGGGGTCTTGTGCAATTCAGTCGGCCACATTGTGCCAATCGCCCAAACCTTTGGTCCATCCGACTCGCAGGCGACTCGCCACGCCGAGGGGCGTTCACGTCCAAGTGCGCCATGCAGCGATCCAGCGCACCGGGGCTGTGCTGTCTCAGAGCGAAAACTGGCTTGGAGACTTCGCACACCGCGTGCTTTTAATATAAGGTTGGACCCACGAACATGGGTGTTATTTTTGTTCCCCTTTCAAGCCCGCTCCTTTGAAAAATCAATTTGTTGTTTCCATCCTACTATGATCATAACATTCAGTTTGCTCAGTAGCCCCAGAAATCTCCTGGGAAACGATCCCATGCGCATCGAGAATCCCTTCAGCCCAGATGCGCCACCGCCTCGGCGATCTGGTATGCGATCCCCCCAGGCCTTGCGCAATTCGGCGGGGCTTCGCCGCCCTCACTGGGAGGAACCTTGCCCTAGGTTGCCGGGAGGGGACATGGCTGTCCTTTTTGGGGGAGAGGTTCAAAAGAAAACTCACCCGAAAGAGGTCTTGCTTGGGAAAAGCAAGGGGTGTGTTGGAAACAAAATGCAGCAGCAAAAGAATGAACCCAGCAGCGCCGGGAGCCTTTGGATGCGTGGCGGGGATCCATGCATTTGCCCGAATTGTCAAGGGGGGTCACAAGCCAAGCCCGGCATCCGGTCCATCTAGGGCTAGACCTTCGGGAATACGTGCGCTACCGCTACAATGAGGCATTGGCCAAAACAAGCTTCCAGCTCGACAGATTGCAATTCCTTCCCGCAAGCGCCAAGTCATAGCTGTGTGCATCAAACGCGGACTGGAGAAACACCCCGAAAGCAAATGGCCTGTTTTGCGCGTGGCCTTCTAGATTCTCAATTGAAGACGGGGAAACCTCCCAAGCCCTTGTTTGACCTATTTTCACCTTTGGCTCTCGCTTCCCGAAAGCACTCGGTCTATGCGAAGCTTCGATTCACAGCTTGCGGGCTCACATGGCCAAGCTGACTGCCCGGGTGATGTCTGGGCAACCAACCCCCCTTTTCCAGCTTCGCTTGGTCTGTTCTCGGGTGTCCCGACGTGTCTGGCCCAAAACGCCACCAAACGCTTACCCCTGGCACCAGCCCCAAACCTGGCCCCAAATACAAGTAGGTGATGTGCTAAGCGCCGACGGGGAAACATGGGGAACCCATGTCAAGATCGCCACCCGGGCATCGTTCAAAAAGTTTCGGCCTTGACAAACATCAAGAAGCCTACCAACACACATGTTCCAAGCAGGCAAGTACAAAACAACAGAACGACGAGGGGAACAGCCCGCTTTGGGCATGGAAATCAACGATTCGTACCAAAAAGAAACAACCACCAAGGCCAAGACGGGGTGACTCGCGGCCCAAAACCGGGGTGAAGAGCCGAACCAAATCCTCGATCTCCGCCTGGTTTTGTCTGCTGTCGCAGGCGCCAGGCCCGTGAGAAGCTCTAAGATCACCATGCCGAAGGAGTAGATCTGATCGGAGTTTTTTTCGCGCAGGGGCCCGATCCAGCATCCCCCACTCCCCGAGTTTCCTAACAAGGCAATGGTCAGCTTCTTCTCCGTGAAGCGTTGTGAAGCTTTTCCCCTTCCGCGCCAAGAACCAGATAGAGTGCCCTGTGGCCAGTGCCCCACCCTTTTACCAGTGCCATCCATTTCAAGCAACCTGACACATCTCAGGAGATACCTCCTGGAGGTGGGCTACCTGCCCCGGCCCCCTGGCACGAAGCCCAAGTTTGTGAGTTCATTATCCGCCTATGGCTCAAGTATGGGAGCCCCAACAGGGTCCAAAATCGCCATGGGTTCATATGTGGATCTATACATTCAGCCTTTGAATGAAACCCTCGGGAAAAAGTATTCCGAGGAATTCGAGTCCGAAACGAGTTCGCAACGGGCTGACCAAAGGAGTCCTCTGGGTCCATGCAAACTTCCTACCCTGGCGGCGACGTGAGGTCGGAGCAACCCTGACTCCCTCAAGGCAACTCGGACTTGGCTTCAATTGAGGAACCAGGGTGAAACGCATATCGCGAACCCGCGCAAAGTGAATGAAGTTGGGCCCTTAAACACTCAGCAAATCCTGTTTGAAGCGCCTGGCACGTCTGGCACGCGCCTGTGGGCTTTACACGCGGACCCTCATTCTTGGAGGAGTAGGACCTTATTGCGTACAGCTCTCAGGGTACAACCTGAGGGAACACAGCCTTGACCAGCTCTCGCATTGCGCCTCGCTCCCCTCAGTGACGCGCCCCGTCTGAGAGTAGAGGGGGCAAGCGTAACCTGGCGCTGGCTACGCTCCAAACAAAACCCTGGAGCGTGGAAGAGGCCCTCTGGAAGACCGGTTTCCTCTGACAGGGACCCTCTTTTGAGTCCAATGCTTGTTTTTGGGAGAGCTGGAAGCCCCAAGAAACAAGCCCTGGTTCCCTTTTTGGATAAACTTCACCTGGGGAAGTTTAACTATGTGCACACTTCGATAAACATTGCCTGTTAGGTTGCCATGTTTGGTGAGCCTTGAGGGGTAGAATATATTTCACACGGTGGACATATATTATAATACGGGCACGTCGCTTGTTGAGGGCACCTAGAGAGATACTACCAATGGCGTACTTCATTTTGGAGCTCCCTTTGCAATCCATCCAAAAAGGGGTTTGCCCTTTGGGCTTGTCCTTTCTTTATGAGGTTGTTCTAAAGCGACACCAGAAGGAACCAGGGGACGCAATTCGGAGACAAACACACATGATCCACATGATTGGGCCTTTCAAGGTGGCAAAGGGCCCGGATTTACATTCACCGTCTGAGTCCAAAGAGTCGCTTTACTCCAACTGTATCTTACGTTTATTCTTTGGCCACTGACTGTCACGGGGTCAAGCTTAAAACCACCTGGCTTTCGGGAGAAACCGAGCACAGGGTCATCAATGGCATCGCATCAAGCAGTTTCCAGCCGCCACGGTTTGGAGCAAATCACCGGGACACGGGAATCACCATCTTTCCAATGGGCCGGCAAGCTGAAGATGATTGTAGCCCAAAAAGCTCCCTGTGCACTTCCACGATTGGCGCCGCCGGCCTGGGGTGCCGCTAATGTTGCTCACCGTCACGTGGAGCCTCGGCGGCATTATTCGATGGGGGTACGCTGGCTTGACCAGGGTCCAACCATTTTGTCCGCTTTGGCGACTCTTAACATCACCTTCGGGCTGCTTTTGAACGGCATGTTCTTGAGCAGCCCTATAGAGTATGTTGCTGAAAACCGCCTAGCTGACCATGCGCCTTCCTAGCAGGAGCTTGAAGCACAAGAACATGGCTCAAATACTGATCGCCCGATCTCAAAGACGCCTCTCCTAACCAAGCATTGCAAAGCGCGGCCCGCCCCAACTCGCCCCCCACAAAAAAGGGCCAGCAGCACATAACGCCTGCAAGGCATCACTTGTTGCAAGTAGGGGTTAGCAGCCCCAACCATTTTGATGCCCAAACTTGCAAAATGAGTCCTTATATGGGCGTCGTTTTCGATGGCAATCATTTTGGGATGGTTGCATGTTCCTACCAAAACGTGTGCCTCTCTAGATTCCCCATGTCCAGTAGGACAACACACAATTTTGACTGGCTCAACATCATGACAAACAACGTGTCTCTTTTTGTCAATGGCCGTTCGCCTTTTTGGTGTCTCTTTCCGGGAAACCACAGGGAAGGCCACCCCCATGTCCAAGACTTGAGACACTCGCCCCGCCACACACATAGCCACTTGGCGCGCTGATCGGTCGGCCAGGCTGCGAGTCTGAGCGCGCTGAGCAGCTCAGGCCAAAATCAGCCATCTTCGCCGTGCCGTGCCTGTCCTGCGCGCGTGGTTGTTCCCCCGATTGGAAATCGTGCAAGCCCCCCCCCCCGGCCCCTATTCCGTGTTGCTTTTCCACCCCCAAACCTTTCTTTCGACCTCCATTTGTCCTTGCGCCCAAAATCCGGGGAGGGGGGAGGTTTAAAAAACAAAAGGCCAAAAGGTCCCCTATGTCCCTTTAAAGTAACGGATGGCTCCAGCAGGATGTTGGCCGACTTGATGTCTCGGTGGAAGGCCTTGGGCTTGGAGTTGTGCATGTGCGACAGGCCTCGCGTCCAACCGCGCCGGGTGCAGCTGGTCGAGCTGGGCGCTGGGACCCCCCCATGTCCCCGGGGAAACTCGCCATGCCCAGGTGGTGTTCCCCCAAAAAGGTGCCTGGATGCTCAACTTAGGTGATCGCTAGAAATGTTGCTTGCTGTGGACCCCCTCTGCAAAAGAAAAGGTCTACTGTTGGGGGGCCCGATGGAAAATCTACTGTTCCCAACAAGTTAAAGTCCGAAGATCAAACAGAAACAGACAGAGTTAGAAGCTAACAAATCACCGTTGCCCCATCCATAGCCTTCTAGGTCCTCAAGTAGAGAGGTTAGAATAAGGGTATTCCTTTTTCCGTAGTCTATTTTGGCAGGGGAACCCTCCCCCAAAAACGAAAGGGTAAAAGTTGGCACTACTGGGGGACCTAGCCTTAGCCATGATCGAGCCAAGTCTTATGACAGGCGCCTGCGGCTGCGTCCAGGCACACGCTGAGGCGTTCGAACCTCAGCGTGAATTGGTGGCTTTCGGGCCCCCAAGGTCCGAGAAACCACCGGAAACCACCGGAAATCACCGGAAACCACTGGACTCAAGGAGTTTGCCTGAGTTTGAAAGATTGTTGACAAACCTTTCTGGCCAAACACTTCTTTGGTTTCGAATTCCTCAAACAACTGTTGCGCATCTTTTTGGCTGGGGCCAAACCTTGAAGCGCGACCCAAAGCTTTTCTTGCGCATGTGCAGACATGGTTCCGCATCAGGCGTGGGTGGCGGATAGAGGTAGGCTGTATTAACCAGTTTTCTGCTATCATCATCCTGGACCTTCAATTGTTGCATAAATGTGTGTCACGAAAGAATGAAATATGCTCGGGCCAACTAATTTGGCCCAATGATCCAAACAGTGATTGTTTAAAGAAATGCGGGCTTCTAGGGTAAAATGCCGCTTGTTACATGATTCGGATTTGCGCTCGTGTTGCGGGTATTTTTGCGGGTATTGTACTCGTTTTGCAGGTATTTGCGTCCACTTTGCGGCATGTGTCCACATGTTTCCACGCAACGTATATTATATATTAGCAGAGAAGCCGCCACAACAGCCAACGATACCTGAATCCAGGTTTGGGCCCGTTCCCCCGAAAAAAAGCGCGCGATTAGCAAATGCCTGCTACGAAACATGCACAGGAACACATTTTATGTAACGAACAAAGGTCCCAGGATTTTCTTAAAAGATGTAGGATTTTGTGGGCCCTAAAATGTAAACCTCTCTGGAGAGCGGCGCATGGCTGAGGCCCGTGCCAGAAGAATGGGCAGCCGGCAGAAGCCTTCTTGCCTCGTTCGCCGGATGGCCCGGGTCGGCAGCACGAGTTCTGTGCCCTACTTGAAAAGCCGACTCAAAAGGGGTAAGAGGCATGGCATTCAAACGCATGGCATTCAAACGCATGGCATTCAAACATGCTGGCTGCAACTAAAGCTAGTGCTGACACCCTCAAAAGGCTAGCGGCTAGCACAAAGGAAGTCACACTAATGAATGTACTCTCTGTGGAGCTCATCAAGAAACCGGAAATACAGCTCTTGAACCCCAACACACTCGTGGCCGCAGCGCACCGACACGTGCATTACTCTGAGCACGGATCTCTGATGGTTTCACGCCAAAAAGGGAAGTCACCTAAAGCAAGGTCAAGAGGCGATGGCCGACCTCACCGTCAAAAAAAGCCAACAAGTAGTTGTCTCAGCTCCTGGGTGGGTTGTTCAAAACAAGTCTAAACTGTTTGTTGGGTGGACTGGCCAAAACAAGTCTTAAAACATGCTTGCAACTAAAATGGCTTTCCAGCCAGTAAATCAACTCCAACACCTGGGGATGCGAGCTACTACGCGCAAACAGAAACACCACCCAGTCCGCAGCTCTTTGGGCGCGCGGCTCTTCTGCAAACGCTGGAAGCAGTCCCCGCCCGACAGCAGCTCGTAGACGAGGTAGCGCTTGTAGTTGTGCTTGGCCCAGCCAAGAAGCGTCACCTCGGCGCACGAAAACTGTGTAACCAATGAAGGGAGGGTGGTTTTGTATGCCAAAACAGGTGTACTTCTACTAAAGCCGTGTAACAAATGAAGAGTCCTACTTGTTTGCTACATATGGAGGGGCAACTACACGGGGAACTAATCGTAGCTCCATGTGGAGCTCCATGGCTAGGTGGTCACTGTTACAACATGCCGGGGAAACGGGCATCCCCTGTTGATCGAACAGGGGTGTATCAAATCATCACCCTGGGTTTACCAGTTCCCAAGCGCCCGGCCAAATTCGGATGCCGGAACTTGCTCAGCATCTGCACCTGAGCCAAGAGGGTTTTTGAGGCACTTGGAATGGCCTTGTTCCCATTATGGAACTGGACAGCCGTGTCAAGAGGACTGACATCTTCCACTTCCACGTTGGAAGGGCATATAAAACTCAAAAGGGACTTGAACGGGCAGGACCCCGAAAGAAGACATGAAGTTGATGCTGTAAAGCACCACCCAAAGGGGGGGCCAACGAAAGAGGGACTTCCACCCCCCCCCCCCAAAAAAAAAAAAAACAATACTAAGTCTGAGAAACACCGGAAACCATTCTGGTGAGCCTTGGTTTGCTGAGCACACATCTGGTACCACATGGAAGGCGAGAAGCCACTCAACCATCCTCAACGACACCCCCTGAATCCGCGTTCCTTTTGGAAGACAAGTACCTCGCTCAAGAGGGCGGTTTTTCACGAAGTGGGGAGGGTCCTTTCCAAGGTGTTGACAGGGCAATCCTGGCCAGGCCGCAAACGCCTTGGACAGTGACGCGTCTGGAGAATCGGAACACTCGCACATGTGTGAAAATTGGGGGGACCCCTAAAACTAACTTGTAAACATCATTGTAAACCAACCTGCGACTATCAACAAATCCCCCATCCACATCCATCCACCCCTCCCTTCGGCCTTTCGCCGCGCCCTTCCCTGCCTCCTCCTCGAATCCCGAGCTCTCCGCACCCAGCGCTTTGAGATCGATCGCCTTCGGCCGAGGGCTGAAGGACCCCTTCGGCGGAACTCGGACCCCTGGATGGCTCGTGTTTTGGCAAACCAAGAGGAAACCGCGGGGTTCACCGGGTGGTGTCAAAGCAAACCAACAGTAACCCCCTTCTTGTGGGGGTTGTTTGAAAGAGAAGCCAACAAAAAAGTGCCCGGTTTGGACCTTCCTTTAGCCAAATGACTTGCCATCTGCCAAGGGCGGTCCACAGGAGTACCCCCTAAGGGCTCAAATGCAGGCAAAGTGATCGAGTCTGGCAATCAAAATAAAGCCGATCGCAAACTACTGCATATATACCAAGGGGCACGTCTGTTCGCTTGCAACATGCCAAGCTCCAAGTCTGGAAACTGCACTTTGCCACCTGCAAGGTGGCAAGTCCATGCAAAGAGCATAGCCAATGCCATGTGACTACGCCCACTTAGCTGTACCATCAGACATGGCTTGAAAGCCCTGAGAGCCTGAGAACATGTTTTTGCGTCCATGTGCCGCTGGAGTTCTCCAAAACCCAGGCTAAACAAATCAGTCCGGAAAGTCATGAGGCAACTGCTTCCCTTCGGGTTTCCTTTCGGGCGCATGGAAAAGTCCGAAAAAGATTCGGCGCTCGCCTTGATGGCCACCTCCGAGCCGTCCGCCAGCTCGCCCTGCGGAGGGCAAAAACCGAAAGCGAGGCGAAGAGCAACGTCCAACCCTGCGAAGCGGGTGCTGCCCGTTTTGCTTCTCCGTCTGTTTTTCCCTCTCCGATTGGCTAAAGCTTGAAACATGATTTTAAAAAAAGCGGGGGGGGGGGGGGCTCGTTTCTCCGAATGGCTGGAAACATGATACACAAACAAAATGGGGGGGCTTGACTGGAAGGGGAGCTCCCTGTAGGTACATGTTTGGCCGGTGAAACTTCCTGAGTGCAGAGGCCATTCAAGTTCTGGCCCAACGTTTTGTGTCCCTCCACCTTCAAAGCTCTCAAGTCTGAAATCCGAGGCTTAGGGAGCCGAACAAGCTTTCCTGTTGAATCGAGACTAGCAGCTTTGGCTTTCCAATGGGGAAACAGCAGAAATCAGGTCCAAAGAATCCCCGAAAGCCACCATGAAACCAAAACTCCTTGCCGGCTGGGGCCCGCGAATTAGCAAAACCACGTTCAGGGTTCGAGGTTCCTTGGGTCTGTATGCTTTAGGTCATTTAAACGGGGGCCCTTTTTCATTGCCAACTTTTGCGCACACGCGCGCACAGACACACACTCCTGATATGTTGTTCAACAGTGGAGGCCGGGCCAACATCGATAAACATCCGGAAGCCGCAGGGGACAAACTCCTTTCTTTCGCCACCCTAAGGGGGGCATGAGGCGACCCTCCCGCTAACATAGAATCCACCAGAGCGACTCTATAAACCTCCCATGCATCCCTATGTCGTATCAAGTTGCTTACGCGCGAGCTTGCGCTTTTCTTGCGCGACCCATGTTTTAGCTTACGCGGCAGTCAGCGAGCATGTTAAGCTTACGCATGGCTTACGCGTGGTCGTTCTGAGCGTTTCCCCTCAAGAATTGCTTACGCGAGCTCCTTTTCTCATGCAGACGCCAGTTCAAGACTCCGAGGAAGAAGATGACGAAGAACTACCCTCACGAGTCTCAGCGGCTTGGCATTGTTGTTATTTCTGCAAGTCAAGAAACGGGTTATGCGGCGGCAGCGGCATCCATCGCGAGGGCTAGCGGGCAGCCCAGCTAGGCGAGCTTACGCGAACCTTACGCGCCTGCTTACGCGAGCTTACGCCCCTGAGCTCCTTTAGTTTTCCTAGATCAGCGTTGTCTTAGACGACTTATTGCTGCCAAAGTCTCCGGGCAAGTTGCCAAGCTCGACTAGGTTGCAACAGCACAAGCCACCAATAATCTCATAAACACAGCTCTTCCGAGCATGCTTACAAAGCTTACCAAGCAATCACGAAGAAGAGCTTACGCAGATGCTTACGCAGCTTGTTTCCCCAAAAAGTGCTTACGCCGGCTTACGCCGTGCAGGGTTTTGCTTACGCGGCGCCTTGTTATGACACAACTCTTGCTTGGGATGGAATCGAGGGTTTTTCGAGCTGCTCAGATTTGTTCAGAACCACTATCCCATTGTGATATGAACCTCCACTCCGTGCCCGTCCACTTGCGCTAACTGCTGCACCTCGCCAACCTGAATTAAGGGATCCCTACGGGACCGTGTGGGTGAGACCGCAAACACCCGCTCTGTTTGTCTGCTTCTTCTTAAAGGCAACCAAGGGGAAACCACCTTGCCTGGGCAAATGCCTGCCGGGACAAAGCTTTGTGCATTGCATAATCATCTGATTCAAACATGCAAAAGACTTGAGAACAGAGTGTGTGCTCCACAGAAAGTAGTCAAGAAGGCAACCGCCTTCTCCGGAACAAGTCCGAACATTCGGATTTGGACATCTATGTCACAATCAAAAGGAGAATTGGAGCGCAAAGCTGGCCACTGACTGTCAAGGCCAAGCTCCAGATATGGCCCCGATCGGGTGACACACCCCAAAACTGTTGCAAGTAAAGCCTGGTTTCGCTGAAATGATGTCAGAAAATCTGGCAGAAATATGGGCCCCCTCAATGATCAACGGGCGGTTCACCAATCCTTGCCCTAGGTGAGCTTGCCGTGATTATCGCAAGTACGTGGCATCTCAAAATGAGCGATCCCTCCGAATGGTTTCTGTTTAAAGCCTGCACAACATCCCAGAAGCAATGAAAACCATGCAAGCCCCCAAGAAACTGGACGTAACACAGGAAGAACCCCTGAAGAGTGCAAGATTTCTGCTTGGGATTGAACGATCTTGGCTGAGTTCTACATCCTATTGGTGACGAACCCTTAGAGTCATCCATTTAGGGGCAAGGCCAGGAGCCCAAATCGACTTGATGACTTCCTTGCCCCTTTATGTAGCCCTTTGTAGGGTAGACCATCCCATACTGGAAAGCCAAACAGAAAGGGATTTAGAGGGTTCAGTGAGCTGTTAAAAAGGAGTTCAAACACATCGACAATACGAGTTGCTTGTGTTGCTGCCTCACTCAGGTGCCACTAAGCGCGCGGCGTTCTAGCCCTCAAAAGCAGCAACTGTTGTTTTGCGTCTCTGTGACTTTCACAAATGTGAAAGTGGATGGCGAAACCGCTTTTGTGTGGAAAGTACACGTGGGTGACTAAACATGCGAAACATGGCTTCACCTACTCTTCACTTCCAGGCAACATTTGTTGGTTGTTCCATCTTTGTTGCTACTGGAACTTGGTTCCCAGGAAGACTGACCCAAACCCGCCGGAAGTGACCAAAACCCCGAACCTGTGTCCAAATCATTGCCTGCTGCCGCTGCTGCCTATCACGGGAGTGACCCAAATCCCCAGGAAGACTGACCCAAACCCTCCCCCCATGGCATGGGCGGGTGGGCCGCGCTTCGCCTTGAAGACGGAGCCGTAGGAGCCGGAGCCGAGGCGCTGAGACTCGTGCCACTGCTGCCTGGAGTGGCCACCAAAATGGATCTCGGGGTGTCCTTCTGGCTTGCCTCCAGTGCGACTTTCCCCATTCTTTCCGGGGATCCTTTCTGGAAAATTTCCGGACACCCAGAAAAAACAGCCGGATTTTGAACGGAACGATGGTTGAAAAGAATGGCAAAGATGTGTCTGTTTTTTTGGGGGGACCCACCAAAATGGATCAAACCAGGTACCCTCAAAACCAGGTACACTGATTATGTCTTCTTCTTCTTTTTTTTGGGGGGGGGGACCCACCAAAATGGATTTGGGTTCCCTTATGGTTTTTCACCTCATGAGCCCCAGGGTTTGCATACCCTATTGCACAGGCAAACACCGACGTTTGGTTTCCTTACGGAAACCACTCTACAAACCAGGTGCCCTCAACAAATATGTGGCTGCTTTGGGGGGACCCACCCAACATGGACGTCAGCTTCCTTTTGGTTTCACTCAAACCAAAAGGGGGTACCCTCCACTACGACACACCCCACCCAGATGGCTCGCCCGGGCTCCCTCAATGAAGCTGTGCATTTCATTTTTGACAGGGAACCCATTGGTGGGCATCTCAATTTGGTGGGACTTCATGTCCAACCAGCGTTGAGGTGGTTCCTTGTTCAAATCCGTGGCCATATCTAAATGGAGCACGACAGCAAAAGCAAAAACAAAAAAACAAATGACTAGCTCCGCTTTGGACACATCTGATGAAGGTTTGGTCAGGGGTCCCCAAATCTCGCGATTCAGCATCGCCCCACAGGAAACTCACTTTATGTTGGCAAGCACAAGGTCACGCGTAAAGTCACACGAAGAAATATAGGGAAACCATTCTGAAAAACCTGGAGGTAAGCAAAAGCTTGCTAAAAGATATGATTGACCGTTCCATCGTGTATCTCATGCTCTCTTCATCATATTTTCGTCATTGCTTTCTGGATTCGGAATTTCCTATTAACCAAGCGTTTCTCTCCCTGACATTTCTATCGTTTGGTCCCCACTATGGTAGCTAGAAGCGTTGGGCGAGCTGCTACGCACCTGCCGTTGAAACCAGTTGGACGTTCCGTAGAATCTAAGTCACTCGATGCGAGGGATTGCCGCTGAACATGCGAATTCAGGCTGGGGCCGACAAGCGACTGGAACAATACTTCGGTGCTCCTTGACCAATTAACTTAATTAGGAAACACCCCGTTTGGAAGAATAGTCCAACCCGGTGTTGAGGCGGGTCGGTGTCCGCCCTTTCATCCACCAGGGCATCCACGATACCTGAAGAACCTCCAGCCAGACAATCCCGGACCCAAAGCGCAAAGCACCGAGGTGCGTTGAGGCAGACAGCTCCTCGTAGCTGTACTCCAACGAGATCTCCTCAGGCAAAACGGGAGGGGGGGGGATGTCTTCCTTCATTTGGTCAATTGGCCAAGAAAAGTCTGAACCTTTTGGTTGCCACTAGGTGGGCTTCCGACAAAGTAAAAGGTCCGAAAGATTGGCACGTGAGACGTCCTTTTCGCCAAATCCTCTTTGGGAAGTTTCGTCATTGCATACCTCCGGCGTAAGTGAGGAAGGGTCACAAATTGCAACACTCCCGAGGGTTCCCACTGGCAATGCCTTTGGGCAGTGCACTTCAACATCCTTCCCGAATCCTTCTCCCTAGGGGGCTGAAGGCCGAAAAAGGCCCATGGCCGCATGCCAGCAGCCTGCGACAAATCCTTGGACAACATTCTGAACTCGAATGGCTCTTAACATCTATGAAGGGGTCCATATCATATAAGCCTGGCGGAAGGGTGTAAAGCAAAAACGACCACGAAGGGTCGCGAAAAGACCTCTCTCTTCAATCTATTTGGGCTTATATGTACGGTCGACAATACGAAGAAATATCCGAAGCCAAGGTGCCCGCAGCTGAGTGCTGTGTCGAGGAGGCCGTTCCGGTTGAGGCTGCTGCTGCGCCAGATGTGGCTGTGGCTGCGGATGGTGGTGCGGCTGCTGCGGCAGTTGCTGTGGATAGGCTCCTCCCAAAAAGCCCACGAGAGGCCCACGAGAGGCGGAGGAAAGCTTCCAACATGCGGAGGCCCCGCTTGCAATCATTTGAGCATTGCTGATGGTTCAGTACCTCTTAGGCCCCAAATGACTCCCAAACATCTTTCTACACCCGCTGCTACTTTGACTTCTGACTTGGTCTAAGGGTCTTTGGCCTGGCCAGGGCCCACAAAATCCCGTGCGCATATACACGCCCACTGCCGGAAGGCCGTGCTCAGGACCTTCTCATGGGTTTCATGCTAATATATAGATAGATAGATAGATAAATATATATATATATATATACATGTGTGTATGTGCACATATGTACAAAAAACTTCGTGAGTGGATGAGCATTGCCTTTCATGGAAACCGCAAGCATGCCAGCAGCTCCAAACGAACCGTCTTGCTTAGACGGCTCACATCTTGCTGGCCCAAGCCCGGTCCGGATTGCAGAGGACCCATCAATTTCCGTGGCTGTAAATATAACTGCTCGACATCTATCACTTGGTGGGGTTGAACCAACGTGCCACGACCATCAGCAAGAGGCAAAGAGTGCAACCGGTGGGGGAAAATGTTCAATACGTGGATGCCAAGCTCAAACCATGGATAACAAGCTCAAACTTGCTCAAATGGAGCTCGAAATTGCTTTGGCGAAAACATGTTTAAGTAGATATAATTCTTCAACTCGGTGGATCATGAAGCCCAGGTGCAAGTTCAACTCCGCTCTGACCATATCCCTCTTCTTACTCCCCCAAACAAAGGCCTGACCTGCAAAGCATGCGACAACTGACGGCCGACTTCACCGACGTGTCCTGGATATTGGCCGTAAGGAGGTTGAACAATGGGAACCGGCCTTGGGCCCTGTGCATACCTCGGAGCCCCACGCCGATCGCCCGCCATTCTCCGAAGAAAAAAACACGGGAGGCTTCCGGCTTACCCTTTGGAAGGCGCTGGAAAGCAACGACTCCTTCCCGAAAGGCCTCAATCCACCGATGGGTGAGGTGATAAAACTTGTTTTTTGCAACACGCAGCTGCAACCTGATCACAAGGCCCCGCGGACCTGGTGGGAGTCTACGTACCTGTTGGGGACAATGAACTCACGATGCACGGTGAACAAGACCATGTTTCCACAAAAGGAGTATGGGAAAGTTTGGGCCCGTCCCCTTGTGCGGGACATGTTCAGGCGACCCTCCCAAATAAACAAGAAATAGACTACCACGAAACTCCGACCCAGATATTGCTTATTTTGTTGATGGTACCTTTCACAGGTTTAATAGAACCAGCCCTAAACATCCTAAACCAACCCTAAACAAACCCCAAACCAACACTAAACCAACAGTTTGGCACGGGGCCGGCCTTTTGTTAAGGTAGATGTTGGACCTATCGCTGTGAATGTGACAACTGGAAAACAATGTTTTTGACATGTGTTGCACACCTTGATCCTTCTAGACTCGCTTGAAGATGTGGTTGGGTTTACCCATGGTACGCGAAGGCTTGGTACATTTCGCCTGCTGAACCCCCACCCCCACCAACAAAAGAACAGAGCAAATGGTTAGCTCAAGTCCCAGTCCAAGCGACCAATGACGAATCCGGACCTCAAAACGCCTGACTCGGCCCCATTGGGGCGCCAGCCCCAAATAGCCCCTTGGAGTTCCATCAGGTCAGACACTTTTGCGGCGGCACGCCCGACTCGCGACGGCCCCGGCGAGCAATTGACCCCTAAACCAACCCTGAGCCAGCACCTAGACCAATCCTAAACCAGCCGCCCTAAACCAGCCCTAAACCAGCCCCAAACCAGCCCTAAACCAACTCTAAACCAACCCTAAAACCCTAAACCAAACCTAAACCATGCCTAAACCAGCCCCAAACCAGCCCTAAACCAACTCTAAACCAACCCTAAAACCCTAAACCAAACCTAAACCATGCCTAAACCAGCGGGGTTGATTTAGGGTCGGTTTGGGGTCTGTTTAGGGTTGGTTAGGGTTGGTTTAGGTGTAGGGGTTGGTTGAGGGTTGGCTTAGTGTTTATTCGGGGTTGGTTTAGGGCTGGTTTAGGGTTTAGAGTTGGTTTAGGGTTGGCTTGCGGCTGGTTTAGGGCTGGTTTAGGGCTGGTTTAGGCATGGTTTAGGTTTGGTTTAGGGTTGGTTTAGGGTTGGTTTAGAGTTGGTTTAGAGAGGTTCTCAGTCGGTTGCCCTTCACCATTTGAAGGGCATTTTTCAGACTGAGCCAAAGCCAAAGTCCCAGAAAAAAGAACAGAAGCCAGCCTTTCCGGCCACGGGCTTAGCATTCCCAAACAAATGCAAATTATTCTTTGGCCCCGCATCATTGACAGCTTCACGGTTGACGATTGAGAATGATGTCCCCATGCTGATTGCTTAGGTGTGTTGCCCCCCAAAGTGACTCGACTTATCTCTAAAACAGGACACCCCCGATCAATCAACCAGGGGTTCCGCTCAATTCTGGGCTCAAGTAGTAGAGAGCCTGGATAAATTTCCTTGCCAAGTTGCGCGACTCCGCCATGCTGCCACTGGTACATTGAATTGCCCGCCTTCCGGCCGCAAGCGCAAAGGGTCCAGGCACAACGCTGTTGGCCACATGCACCCCCTAAGTGGTGGGTTAAAGGGCAACAACCAACCATTTTCTGTTTGATAACCCCCGGAAACCGTCAACAAAATGACCCCAGAGATTCTGTCCCATATTCAGTAAACCTTGCACTGTAGACTCACTTGCCCAAAAGACCTGGAAATAAAAGGTTAACCTTTTGGGACCTTTACTAAAAATGGACCAAATTATGGGAAAACCAAAAGGTCAACAGGTCGGCTTTGGGCAAGTGAGTAGAGTCATGCCAGAGGTCCGAAACCCAGAAGTTGCAAACCCAAAGGACCGCTCGCACTTCGCCGAGTTGTGGCAGGCACGGCGGAGAATCAAAAGTGCACCACTCACATGTTGAAGACACGTAAGTTCATTGCGAAAAAGTTGAGACATGCCAGGGTCAGTATTCACCTTGTTCACAGACATTGAAATTTACAGAGTAAATGCCGAAGGGCCGCGTCATCTCCGAGTGCCCCCATAAAGGGAAGCCCTTTTTCAGCTTGACCAGTTCTTGTGGATAACGAAAAGGGGCAAAAAGGGGCCTCTGCCACGTAGCCATTTTGGTTCCCCGATTTCAACACGCAAGAGATTCACTGAAGTACAGAGGGCCGACGCATGGCTCTACCATATCCAAAATAAGTGTCGAACAATTAGAATGGAGTTGGGGGATGCTTTGACCAAGTCAAACATTGCGGGAGCAAGGTATTGACTTGGAGCCTCATATCTATCTTGTTGTTGATGTATGTCCTTCCATTTGCTTCAGCCGCCTGGAGAAAAAATATGTCCAGTAGTGATAGATTCTCTTTAAAACCAGCAAGGGATAATATATATATATACACTTAAGAACAAGTTCTTAAGCAAATGGATGTGTCCAGTGCTTGTGGTCAGGGGGCCACGCTGACGGATTGAATTGCTATCCATTCAATAGACACTTTTCCCCAAGTATGGCCATGAGCGCGAACTTGGCATCATGACCTCACAACACCTTACCCTGGGTCAAGTCATTCGAGCCCCAAGGAAGCACATTGAATCAAGCAAATGATCAAAGCGCAAGTTCTCCCGAGTTCTGCGAACCCACGCCGAAGCCAGTTGAGACCATACCACACTTGCAAACCGACCCTTTTGGTGGGATATCATCCCCTTGCCCTCCCAAACAGCTTTTGGTTGGCGCCTGCGGCGCCTGCGGCCCCCTGAATTCCCGCCTCCCCCCCAGCCGGGGCCTACTCATCGACTCATGGCCGGCTTGGCGACGCCAACCGGCAAACTACGAGCTTCCACTCTGCGGCGAGAAGAAAATACCTAGGCTCCTTAAGCATGTGGGGGTTGATCAATATTCCTGGCCCCCAACTGACCCAAGGCCGGCCCCCCACTGACTGGGGGGTCCTAGAAAGTCCGAAAGTCCTGAAAGACAATGTTTGTCCCAAAAGGACCTTCTGGTGGATTTCCTTTTGGTGGGGGGTCCGTGGCCTTAAAAAAGTCGCGACCTTGTCAACCCCTCAGGGCATTGCGTTGTGAAGGCCATGTGAAGGCCCAGGGCAGTCGTAGAGTCTTTGGACAAAACTCACTTGCGCCCCCAACTTGGGTATGGCTGTTTCATAATATTGTATTCTTCAGATTCGTCGCCTCCTGGCTCGCCTTAAAGAGAAACTACTCCATCCAGAAAGGGGCGCATTTGAAAGGAGATCAGCCTTTTTTGGCTTGACTAGACCTGTTTGCCACAATCTTCTTGCGCCAAAAAGGCAATAAAAGACAGCCAAACACACAATGCCAACTCGATCAGGTTCCATGAGGGGCTTACATGTTTGGAGGGGGGGTCTAGCCAACCGCCAATCATTGGGCATCTCCTCGGCTTGCCACACACGCCACGAACCACTCAGCACGTTTGCCACTACAACGCTAGTAGTTCCAACAGCAGGACTAAGACACCCACGCTCCGAATGGCTCGCAATAAGGGCAGCTGAGCCCGCAAAACTCGTGCTCCCTCGGAGCGAAAGGCGGCGGCTCTGTTTCTCGGCAGCGGCATGCACCAATCACTGCTACCGCGGCGATCGCCCGTGCTCTTCAGAGCCTCGAGACGTGTGTGAGACGTGGCCAGGTGAAACGGAGTATGAAACCTCGATGGAAGCCTAGCTAGATCTAAGGCAAGGACGGCAAGGAAAGACGTTTCTGCCCAGTTCAACGACCTAAGCCCCGACGTTACATGCGGCTTGCCCCGCTTCTATCCTTCCCTTCTTCCATTTTTCCCCTTCGTCCGTCCCTGCGCCCGCTCGCACGTGGTTCGCTACGCCAGGGCCGCCCCGAGGCTCGGCAGCTTGGGCGTGAGCGGGGGCGAGGCGAAGGTGGCGTTGGGGCTCAGCGGCGGGCTCAGGCTCAGTGCGTTCATTGGCGTGGTCTCCGCCCCATCCTGCGAGAAATTCAGGGACCTCGGGTCAACAAGGTGAGAAGAAGAACCCCTCAAAGGCGCCTTTGAGGGGTCAACACGGCGCCTTTGGGGACTCCCCCCCCCCCCGGCGAGCCAGCCATGACCCGGCAAAAAGCGTCTTTCGCCCGTCCTCGTCCTCGATGCCCGCGGCCAGGGCGAGACTCCTAGCGGTCACCTCCTGCAACTCTTGCAGCACCGCCTGTGGCCGGGGCTCCAGCAGAGCTCAGAAGGCATGTGATCTTTTACTGGGCTGCCCTCAGATCCCCCCACTAAAAGTGGCTAACTTTTAGTGGGTGCCATGGAAACTACCACTAAACACTAAAAATCCAAAAGGCTGAGGAACCGAATGGGAGCCACCAAGTTTATTGCTTGGAACAGGGTTTCACTTCGTGGACTTGCAGCTTTCTGCGTTTCTGTTGATGCATGGGTCCTAAGGTCGGTTCCACCCTCGAACAACCTACTACGGGGACTCAGGGTGAAATGGAGTCCAAGTCCTAAAAAGCGGGTTGAGGGAGTCCAAATAGGCTCCAGCCGGCCATCCACATCAGACCTCCCCAACAAGGACAGTGTCCAAGCCAATACGGCGCTGCCGATGGAAGACAGATTCAAGCCAGTGGAATCCATCCATCTTCAACCAAACTGAAACCAGAAACCTATTTTCTACCGTGTCTTACCCGCATTTCTCGGCTTTTCCCAGCCTTTTTCCCCAAACCACCCCCGGCCGTCCGCATCCCAACTGAGCACTCGCCTGCATGTCCTTGGCGTCCGGCACCTCCGCAGGCACCAGCTGGTCCGAGCCCTCGGGCGGCAAGAAACGCCACGTGGTGGTGTTATGGGGGCGGGCGGGGGGAGGGAGGGGAGGGGGAGGGAGCCCAAATAGGCCCTAAAAAAGGCCTTATACGGGCTTAATAAGGTTTGTTTTTAGCTCCTTCCCTCCCTCCCCCCAGCCTCATGATGGTGATACTGTGGATGGACGAAATCCATTTCGCACCACTTTGAAGGCATAGGAAGCCATTTTGTTTGTTGGCATTTGCAGAAGAAGGAAACAAAAACACATTCCAGGGTTTCTTAGGTGGTGCAGGATTTGGTCCATCCACAGTGTCCACACTGGGTACTGTCCCCATTACTTATTCACTATCAAAGTCACCCCCTACGTGGCGGGATAAAGCTTGCTTCTGAATTTGATAACCCCCACAAACAGTCATAATAATGACCCCAGGATTATGTGTAAAATAGGGCCCAAAAGTGGTGGCTCAACCGCAAACCCCCTGCAACAGTTTGCCGCCCCCGCCCCCACCCTCGCTTTGGTCTGTTGCGAGGCTGGTTAAAGGCATTGCTCTTGCTGTTGCCAGGGAAAGGGTTGAAGCCGAAAGATCCAACCAAGCAGCGGCCAAAAAAACACCGCTTGGTGGTGGTGCCCAGATTGGCTTCCCATGCAACCATGACCTAAAAAATACCGGGGATTCCGTTGGTGCAGAAAGCGGCTGGCAAACATAATGCTCAGCTTATTGGGGGTTTGGAGTTGTGGTTTGGAGCGGTCGTTTAGGATTGAGGGGTAGCTTTGCAATTGCCCTCAGCAAGAACCAAGGTGCCATGGTAGTGGGAAAATACCCGACGTCTGTGACACCAACGTAGGATTGCCATCCAACCATGATTACTTTCTCAATTTACAGATTCTTAATCCCTTTACGGGACGACTTGTTGGTTCCAGTAGGGTAGGGAATCAACCGGAGACATTTTGGGATCAGCCATCAGCTGAAGGGAAACCAAGAAGATTCTCATGGGGTCAGTGCGCCCGAAAAAAGCCATGTGGTTTCCGTTGCGAACATCGCACACTTCGGTTCTGTGTTCTGAGGTTCGGATTCTGCCTGTGAGCACCCCCCCTGGCGCGCCTCCAGCACCTCCAACAAGGGCTCCGTCGCTTGGCTGGGGTCCTAAAATCCAGCGTCCCGGCGGAATCTTTAAAGACAAGCAAGAACATCGGGCCCAAGCTCGCTGAACCTCGAGATCCTCCGAAACCACAAGACACAACTGCCCAATTAAGTCATGATCACAGCCGCAAAAAGTGAGAAACCAGGCCCCTCGCTTTTTTGCCAGGCATGCGCTGTTGGTCTGGGCCTTTGGGGTGACGTCTCGCAGGTCAGTCCTGCTTGAGAATGCTGATGGCCCGCTGGGCAATGCGCATCATCACCGACACGTCCGCCTCAGCTAGGATATCACACGGGGCAGGCATGTAGCTTTCAATATCTTGCTGGTTGGATCCTCCCCTCTCCGAAATAACAACCTCGCAATTGGCATAATATGTTTGCTTCAAAAAAAGAAATACAACACACACAATTCAAAAGCAAACAACCAGTGTTTTTTCGCCCCCGCAGCGCCCAGCACCCATCACCGGGCAGCTGAGCTGCTATCTTCTCTCCCGACTCCCTATTCAGGCGGCCCATGAGCATCTGGACTAACAGCCCTGCGTCCTGGGAATCGGAGCACAACTTGGGAGGCGTGTCTCTGTTTGGTACCCTTTTCAGGCTGCTTGAAAGGGAAACCAAAAGGAACACCACCCATTTGGATGGGCCGACCAACATTCAATGTGGGAAAGTTGGTGGGTTGCACAGGTTCTGAAGTTCTGACAATGCCGGACTTGTTGGGTGGTATTGGGAGCCAAATCATGGGAGCCAAATCAAATTTCCCCTTTGAGACTTGCCTTCCTACCCCATTTCGCAACCCCCCCTGAGGTGGGACCTACATCTAGCTCACAGCTGGAAGCCTTCAGCCACTCGTTGAAGTAACATCATCCATCCACCCAATCCATCCACCAATCCACCCATCCATCCACCCATGCATCCATCCACCCATCACCCACCCTCCATCCATCCATCATCCGTCCATCCATAAGTAGCATCGCCTTTGAGTAGCAAGACCACCTGTGCTGCGTCCTGCTCCCTCTGCACTGCCGACTCGATGGCAGCCCTGCAAGCGTCCTGCAGCCTCGTTGTGGGGGGGGGGGTTGAGGGGGTGAGGGGGGGTTGGGTGGGAGTAGGGCGGCACCCTCCCAAGCGAGACCGTTGCAGCAACGCACCAACTCGGCCGCTAAGCCCCAAACAGCACTGCGATGACATCCTGTCGTTTTCATGCCCCACAAAGCCGGGCTGAAACAAAACGCTTTGGTTTGGCAAGCCTCCTTTGGGCTAAATCAGGCGATCCACGCGCAGGTATGGGACGGCTTAATCTGGGTCCCTACACTTCCCTTCAAACATCATGCCAGCTCAATCAGGCAAGTGATGCTAAATCCAGTTTAAACGAGGAAGACTTTATAGCCTCCCCACCAGCAGGAAGCTCCTCTAAAACTTGGCGGTCATGTCAAAACCACCAAGACTCACTTGCGCCTGGAAGCAAAAAGGATTGCTCTCCAGGACCTTGCCCCCTTGAAAGACAAGCATTGGTTTACACATGCTATTTACGTGCTTATGCGTGTTTCCACTTGTTGAATCCCCCCTTGTTTATTCTTGTTTCATATTGCTCATGGGAAATTGTTTGCCCCTGTTCTTTGTTGTTCTGCCGCCGGAAACTTGAAGCCCCCTTCCCGCCCTCCCCAAGCCCGGCAACGTATTCCAGTGTCACTTGCTCAAATTTACCTTACACCCCAAACGTTAACCGAAAACTTCGTAGAAACCGATTGATCAAGTGGATCGTCAACTGGTTGTACCATCCATCTCTGCTCTTCCGCCTCCAAAGGGCCAGCCAAACCGTCTCCCCGCCTCACCCGAACCCCCCGGACCGCGCGAACCGAACGCTTCCGCGCTTCACCCGGGGCTCCCGGCTTCACCTCCGCCAGCACGCTGGTGCCGCACCGCAGCAGCGGCGCCAGCTGCCCGCCTCGGAGTTGGATTCGGCGCCTTTTCTGGGCTTGGGTGCTGTAGACTTTTCAGCAAACAGTTTTCTTTCACTTTTTGCTGGTGAAGAGGAAATAGGAGGGGAATCCAAAAAGTTAAAGTCTAAAAATCCAACCCAATAGCAGTAGAGTATGGGGCGGGTTTTGCGGGGAAGCGGCACCAACGTCGAGTCCTCTGCTTTTGTGGTGTTCTTTTTAGGTGATGTTTTGAGGGGACTAAGGAAGCCCAGGCGTCACCCCGGGTTGATGTATACTTGGCGCGCTTCATGGGGGGGAAAAAGAAGCACCGGTCACCGACCAGAGAACTTAAAGCCCAAAGGTCCTTCACGTCAAACTTCTTTGATGATGGGTCCACCACATGAAGGCGACAGGTATCCATGCCCTTGGAACTGACTTTGGAGGAGCTAAGAAAACGGCACAAGCCAAACGTGTCAGATGAAATGACCAAGGCCCAAAATGTAGCCATCCAAGAAAGAGAAACCCTTGCGCATGACAACCGCTTGAACCCAACTGAGGCATAGGCCGGGAAACCAAACACTCAATGGTGTCACCATCATTTCCCTGGACCCCTGGCCTGTTGGATTTTTTGAGCAAGGAGTAAATATGTTGTGAATTAGGCCTAGTTCAGCTTTGCGGTTGGTTCTAGGCTGACTGAGCTCAACCCCCCCCCCCGAAAATAAATAAATAAATCAATAAAATAATAAATAAACACACGCACAATAAAAACCAAAAAAACAAACAAACAAACAAGTTCTCAACATCTTCCTCGCCTCAGACTTGGTATTCAGTTGACTCGTTGATTTTGGGTTCAGATGGTAGGGGCTTCGTGAAAACAGTATCTGGCCCCCTTCAATGGTCTCAGCCCGTCGCCGTCCAGAGCAGCCCCGGTGTCACCTTGGCTCCACTTCTCAGGAACCCAGGCTGAAGCAGAGCCCTGGCTCACTGGGGGTGGTGTCTTCTTCTTTTAGAGGGCAACCTACTTTTCAGGCAAACAGGGGCCCCAACCGAGGTCGACATTTGGGGGTTTGTCTCTACTTTCCAAGGATCCTCCTTTGCATTTTTTCTCCTCGATTGTGGTGACTAAGTAGCCAGTTGCGCGGATGACCCAGGCCATCTGCGTCAGATCCAGCATTGGACTTTGCATGTTGTTTTCCGACGTTGAGCGGCTGGTGACCTCGCATCAAACTGATCATTGGGCAAACGACCATCGACCAACCTCTGGCAAATCTGACCGGCTTCTGCCACCCTTCCGGCTTTCGTGGCAAACCTTCCTGCCAGGTAGATCCGCATGCCCACTTGGCCTCTTGGGGAATGGCTTGGGGCAGCGACCTGGTCAATCAACCAACTACCGTCCGCTGCTGGCTTGCTTTTGGAAAAAAGCCCATCCCCCAAAAACAAGTGTTTCCTTCTTCTTGCCTTGTTCCCCTTTTCTCGCCACCAAGCTCTCACCCCAAAAAACGGCTCGCCCATTTGGACGGTCTTCTTGCTTGTTCCCCCTTTTTCGCCCCTAAGCTCCCGCCCTCCCCCCCCCAAAAAAAAAAAGGCGCGAGTCTTTGGGCGGCCGCAAAGAACGCGAGGGCCGAGGGGCTGAGGAGCCGCAGGGTGTTGGCCGCCGCCAGCCCCGCGGCCTTGGCGCAGCTCGTGGCCCGCGCCTGGGTGGCGCGGGGCAGCCAGGCCGTGAGCAGCGAGACCAGGGCCTCGTGGCGCCGCACCGCGCCACTCAGCGCCTGAGGATGGGGTGGAATGGGAGGGGATTGGGCATGGGGCGGCTGGGGGCTGGACTGGGGGCTGGAAGGAGGGGAGGGCGGGGGGGGGGGGCTGGAAGGAGGGGAGGGCTGGGGAGGCAGGGCACTAAAATTTGGAGGAACAATTCTCAAGCAACCCCCTTCTTGTCTAAGAAGACCCTGGTACAGTGTTACTAACGAAAAGCTTCACCCAATGCTGCTTAAATGGCTTGATGTTGGCTTCTGGCTACGGGGGGCCAAAGGCAAAGGCTGGTTGAACGCAGGAGAGGAACAAATGGACTGAGATACCCGTGCGCTTCCAACAATGGGAATGTAAGTCGGGCCACAAATGGCTGGCTTTCCCCGGGCTTTTTCTGGGGAAGCCATTCAAGGCACCAAATTCGGGCAAGTGGTTTGTGAGGCCTGAGTTGCTTGCTCAGTGGTTTCCAACTTCATGAATTTCGACTGGTTGCTGCCACTGAAACTCACCGAGTTCAGACCTTTAAGGGGCGAGAGCCAGAGTAAAAGCTTCGCGCGCATTTCCCCGGTGGTTTCTGGTAAGAAAAGAAGGGGCGAACCTGTTGCTGGTGATGCATACATTTTAGAATTGTCTGCAGGAAGCAAGAAAAACGGTGCTAGCTGCACTGCTAGTTGCGGTTGCTACCAGTGGGTGCAACATGTAAGGATTACCTGATGCGGAAGTGGGGATCCGAGATCCTGTAGTTGGACCCTCGAGGGTGCACGCATGCCAGGGGCACGTAGCCATTTCCTCCATCTAGGCAAAACGCATTTCCTCCCCAATTGTCCAAGTGTTCAAAACCATGAAACGAGATACCCCCGCTTTCTTTTCCCGATCGGAATCCCAAAGTGCCCATGACAAATACCGTCACCCAGCTCCCAAAGTCCCTCGCCTCATCGTCCTCCGAAGCCAAGCGGTTAACCTTGGCAGAGTGACGGCAAATGTGGAAAAAAACAACCTTATAGACCCTACAGTTCCATGGTTGAAACAGAATGGCGTTGGTTTTGCTACACCCCATAGCCCCCCCCCCCCAAAAAAAAAGAGGCTTCTTATCACCAGGTAGGCAAGGCTTCTTATCACCAGGCTTGCTACAGTGGCTGGCCTGGAGGCGCTGGGAGGCGCTTTTACCCCAAGCTTTTCCTGGTAAGCGGAGAAGGAAAACCCAACACGCAACCCCCGCGTTTGCAGACACAGGCTTGGCCAGCCTCCCAGCGACAGCCTGGGGAACCGGCAGTGGAATCCATGAGAAGTATCCAAAGGATTTTTGTTTTTGCGGGCGCCTCGCACGTGCATGCTCCAAAGGATAGCGTGACTTCCCCTCTCCTTTTTCTGTCACAATATGTCTACACTCCCTCAGGCCATAGAAGTTTTTATGAATTGGCCTCTGGAAATGGAACCAAGTCTTAAGGGATCCGTCCGGGGGATCCTTCCATGGAATCGCCTGGGGGAGGGTAGTTGTTCACTTTAAAGAGGTTTCCCTTGATCACTCACAGAAAGTGGCCTGCCTTCTGATCAAGCAACTCCCAATGTTAAGCCCAAGTGAGCTTGTTGAAGTTAGATGCAGTATCAAGGTTTGGTTCATTTCCCTAACAACTTCCACGTTTCTTCCCTCACCCCCCCCCAAAAAAAAACAAAAAAAACGCACCGACTGCGCCGCTTTTTCGGCTCGACACTTCGAAGCTTCGAACTCCGAGCTGCGGCGATGAGCACCGGCAGCGCCGCCGCCGGGGCGTCGCGCTGGGTGGCCGAGTCCAGGGCGCGCAGCAGCTCCAGCGTCAGCCTCGCAGGTTTGGTTTGTCGACCGGTGGCTGACTGGGGACCCCTCTCTTCTTCTCGGTGGCAAAATCTGCTCCCCTGCTCAAAGTTTATAACTTTTGGTGGTTGAGTTCGGAAAACCCAGTAGTTGGCAAAAAGTTAAAGTCCTAACATCCAAGCACCATGCACCAAAGTTTTGGTGGGTGAAAGTTCGGTGAAAGGACCCCTCTACACTTGGGTTCAGCTCGGAAAGCCCATAATCTTCCCAAAAACTGCCAGAAGTCAAAGTCTAAGGATCCAACCACCTAGTAGCGATCAAGCATTGGTGGCTTCGACAAGTTCTCGCAAAAACATGAATGGTGTTTGTTTGTTTTTTTTTTTTGGGGGGGGGGGCAATCTGCAAACCACCCCTTGAATTCTTGGAGTGGAGGTTAACTGGGAATGGGCTTTTGGTTGCTTCTTCTCGGTGGCGAAATCTGCTCCCCTGCTCAACGTTTATAATTTTTAGTGGTTGAGTTCGGAAAACCCAGTAGTTGGCAAAAAGTTAAAGTCCTAACATCCAAGCACCATGCACCAAAGTTTGGGTGGGTGAAAGTTCGGTGAAAGGACCCCTCTACACTTGGGTTCAGCTCGGAAAGCCCATAATCTTCCCAGAAGCTGCCAGAAGTCAAAGTCTAAGGATCCAACCACCTAGTAGCGATCAAGCATTGGTGGCTTCGACAAGTTCTCGCAAAAACATGAATGGTGTTTGTTTGTTTTTTTTTTTTTGGGGGGGGGGCAATCTGCAAACCACCCTTCAGCTTCCCTTGAATTCTTGGATTGGAGGTTAACTGGGGATGGGCTTTTGGTTACTTCTTCTCGGTGGCGAAATCTGCTCCCCTGCTCAAAGTTTATAACCTTTAGTGGTTGAATTCGGAAAACCCAGTAGTTGGCAAACAGTTAGTCCTAACATCCAAGCACCATGCACCAAAGTTTTGGTGGGTGAAAGTTCGGTGAAAGGACCCCTCTACACTTGGGTTCAGCTCGGAAAGCCCATAATCTTCCCCAAAACTGCCAGAAGTCAAAGTCAACCACCTAGTAGCGATCAAGCATTGGTGACTTCGACAAGTTCTTGCAAAAACATGAATGGTGTTTGTTTGTTTTTTTTTGGGGGTGGGCAATCTGCAAACCAGCTTCGCTTGAATTCTTGGATTGGAGGTTAACTGGGGATGGGCTTTTGGTTATTAAAACAACTGCCAGCTAAAGAACGGTCAACTAGGGGTTTCCCATTTACCTACAAGAACCAAAGAATGGGGATGTTGAAAATTGGCTTTAACCCAGCCTGTACCCTCCAAAGCAAACGCCGGGTTGTTCGCTAATGGGGTTGGGATGAGCCACAATGCGTTGAAACAGAGGGATTTGGCCAGGATCACCCACCTTAAGGGGGAGAGGATGGGACCCCCAAGAAGGTCCAACCAAGAAAACAACGCTAAAAAAAGCGATGGATTTCTCGGGACTCATCACAAAACCAGAGGTGCCCACTACTAAGGCTTGATTGATAGAGAGGCCCAAGGAAAGGTTCGTAGCACCTTAGAAAGTCCTTCCCAGGATTGGCCCAACAGAAATCCCAAACTTGTTCAAACTGATCTTTGAAACAAGTATGAATGAAGTTAAGGAACTCAGGGAGTACGTCTTTTATCAGCTCTGAAAACCCTGACAACTGCTTTGGCATTGGGAGAATTTGTCTTTTTCGATCGATCGCCAAAACGTGCTTTTTCAATGCCAAATGCCGCATCTTCAAAAGGAAGAACCCAACTTGAAATCAGTTCAGTGGATCACTACCAAAAATGGCCGCTGGCAGGATTTCTCGTTTCCCCGGTACCCCCTATACCAATATCAACGATGGGAAGCCAAGGGGTTACCAGGAGCATGAGCCTACCTGACTCGAGAACATGTCAAACCCAATGAAAACACATCCCTGAACACTCCCCTCAAACACCCAACAGGGCTAACCTCGGAAAGGTCTGGGCCCAAAGGCGGATCTGTCCGGATCGATCCGCACTCCGAGCCGCTGCTGCGCCACAGGGCCCTCGGCCGGCACACAGTTATTCACGATGCCCTGGCTCCGCGAGTTTCGAAGGCCAGTGGTTGTACGTCTTGGGTGCTGTAGATCCTGAGAATCCACAAAGTGAATGTCTAAAAATCCAACCCAATAGCAGTAGAGTTGTGTAGTCCGTGTTTTCGCCTTTCAGAAGGTAGCCACTGGGTTTATGCCGGGTGAAACCCGGCAGAACCGACATTCGAATGCACCTAAAGTAACATGTGTATCTCAAAAGAACACCTCTATATACCCCTGTCTACTGTTTTCGCCCGAAACCGGCCAAGCGGGGTTCTCTTGGGCAAGGTTTACGAGTGGCTGGGCCGACCCTTGGTTTCAACGTGGTTGAACCGCTATCACTGAACCACTACTGTTTAAACAACCCTGGTTGGGTTTACCCAAAGGGGGGGCAAGGTCCTTTTTGTTCAAGCCAATTTGCGACCACCCCACAGACAAACATTGTTCTTGGGGTACGGTCTTGAGGGGCAACCCCTCCAAAGCACAGCCCCCCCCCAAAAAACAAAGCACCTTCCAAGAACAAAGGAAAAACAAACGCCACCCCCTCAAAGGCTGACCCTCCCCCTCGGGGACCAAAAAACAAAAACGACCTTTTTTTGGCTTGGCCATCGCCCGCGGCAGGTCACCCCCAGCTGCCCTCTCCCCCCAAGTCTTTGCCTCCAGCGCGCAGGCCGCGGCGGCGGTACGCAGCACCTCGTCGCCTTTCAGCTCCTGCAGGATCAGCGGCCACAAGACGTCCGAGGGCAGGGCCTCCTTCCCCGGCTGCCTGCTGCGGGCGGCGCGGTTCTGGTCATCGGAAATGTTTGGCACCAACCAGGTAGCCACTAGGTCTGAAATCCCAGGTCCGGAATCGCGTAAGGAAGTGGTTGGGGGTGAAGCCCTAGGGTCCTCCAGTAGTTTGAGGTTAGAATAAATTGGTACCCGATCTTTATTCTATAGTCAATTTTAGTAGGGGAACCCTCCCAACCAAAAAGGTGTGAGAAAGGGCACTACTGGGGGACCTAGCATCGGAAAGGCATCAACCAAACCCACCAGGTCTGTCCCAGACCTAAGAATCGCAAGGAAGTGGCTGGGGGGTGCTGGACATGGAAGTTGCTTGTACAAGCCCTCAGACATGGACAACTGTGTTTTTTTCCGCGTTTGGCTGAAGGTGGGATCCACGAAACCTGCGTTACGGGGTTCCGGAACCCTTGCAGGACCACCTCTTCGCCCCAGAAAGGCATAGGCCTGGCTGGGGAACAACCCCCCTGTGTTGCCCGGCTGCTTGGGGTGCCCGAAGATGCCCGAAACAGGGGACCCGGACCCTGGCAACGTGTCCACCAACCAGTGCTTGTTTTTTCCCAGCAAGCAACAGAGCCATGGGAGCATGAACTCTGATTTGGGTGCCCTTTGGTGGAGGGATTGATGCCCGCCCAACTGCAACCTGCTTCGCTGCCGCCGCCAACTCCGTTGCATCGCCCCGGTCCCAGGCTTTCTTATGTTCTCATTGTCACTCAACAGCAAAAGCATGGCCATAGAATCTTGCACTTACTCCGCCGCCAGACACGGCACCACCAAGTGCAAACGACAACGCCGGTAACACCAAAGCTACTGATAATATATGCACAAAACCAAGGAAGCAACACACAAACAAACATGAACAGTGCACCTGTATGTCTGCCTTCCAACAAAACGAATATCTTAACAAAACTCAAAAAACAACTTGCAAGAAACAGCAGATGCGCTAAGGTGATGCGTCTTGTTCACCCAAACAGCGTCTTGTGTCGACCTTTCCTTGCGTTGTGCGCACCTTGCCCAGCGATATGGGCACGTCAATGGGGTGGAACCAAATGGAAATTCCCAGCAATGGGGGGGTGGCCCCAACCCAATGCGATCGGTTTTCCATTTGGTTCCCCAAAAAGACCACCCGAAAAGGGTATGTAACCGGGCCTGAAAAACTCACGCAGCCAAGTGCTTGGTGAAACCCTTGGCGCCACCCTGCCTCTGGGCGGCATAGGGGATGAGACGTGCCAAAAGCCGCAGTGCGCTTACTCGAACGCTGGCCTGCCGGGGAAACACAGCATGGGTTTGTCCCTCTAAAATGGCTGGTTCCTGTTTGGCTTATCTAAGGCAACCGCACACTTCTATTTTGAAACCTCGCAAATGCAGAAAACTGAAAACAGAAAAAGGGGTCCTTTCCCAAAACAGGTCCTCCCAAAAGTCTGATGATATGAAAGGTGATAAAAGCAAACCCTGCGGCCCCCTCCCACTGTCCCACTCCTCCCACTCCCCGCGCCTCCAGGTGGCCGGCAAAGTGCAGGGCCACGTCCAAGGCGTCCAAGTCCAACAAGTGCCCCGCGGTGTCGATGCCGTGGCGGCAGATGCAGCCCAAGGCGCTCAAACACGCCCCGTGCAGGGGGAAGGCCAAAGCCTCAAATCCGAAGGTCCCCCACACCCCCCGAGACAATTCCGCGAGAAGCGGCCCTGGCTTCCACTTCCAAGCGGTTTAATGGGATATACCCGGGATAGAAAGGGAATGCACCCTCGTAGGCTGGGGGGAACCATCCATTCCTATTGCGGAGGGCTCGGTAGGAAGGGTTTTGCAAATGAAGCGGAAGGCTTCGCCACGAAGGCAACACAAGGGACGGTAGAAAAGGCCTAATCCTAACAACCAATCCGCAGGACGACACCACGAGAAGAGAAAACCACTACCATTTGGCAGAAAGATGAACAGCCCAGCAAGAAGCGGACTGCGGCTTCTTGGTTGCAACCCCAGCCTCCCCATGTCCAAATTCCTGGAGACTGAGCTGATTTCCATGCAATCCAATCAAAACCAGCCCCATAGACATCCCACTCTCGTGGGGCCAGCCCCCAAACCAATGGTGCAAGGTGGCATCCCCCCAACAAAGCCTGCCGTTCGCAAGAAGGAGGCACCGGTTGGTTGCAAAGGGCGGATTCCCTTATAGCTTAGCTGTGAAAGATTAAAGGGCCACCTTTCGCAAACAATTGCGAATCGAACTCGTAGTGGGGAACCGATTCCCCACCCCCCACCCCCTATTTTGCTTAGGCGCGTCGTCTTTTGGGTCGCTCTGGCCCTTGAACCGCTCCGAGCGCAACCATTCCATAATCGCCACATGGCCCTGGCTTCGAGGCTCAAAATGGACACGCGGCATGACCATTGGGATTCATCCCTGCAAATGATCGCCATTTACCAACCCAACATTGAGAGCCGCTTTTGAAAGGAAGCCTTGTGTTGTCAAAGCGCTCAAAGGCGGTCGCAAACCAGAGCCTCAAATGTTTTCTGGTTGCACCACCTGTAGCGCATGCGTCTCGAAAAATGAGTATAAATGGGCTTAATATTGAAAGGGTGCGGATTTATTTTGGATTTTGTTTAGCCTTTTTTTCCGTTTTTCGTCCGGGCCAGCAACATGTCGTATTTTACAGCATTTTCTCAAAATTGGCGTATTTTACACTAGCCCGTCAACATCCCCAGCATCGTTTTCAACATCCCCCGCATGTCCGACAAACATCCCTAGCATCACCAACAAATCGTGGGTAACAAAATCTAAAGCTGGCGGGTTGACGGGGTCGAAAAAATGATGATTCAAATAGGAGGGCATTTCACTCGCTGCAAAGCAAATCTGAAAAGTAGCAGGAGCGGCAGCCCCCCCAATGATGTTCGAGAAAGTGATGATTCAACTAGGGGTGCAATTCAATCTCTGTAGAAAATCTGAAAAGTAGCGGGGGGGTTGCGGGGGGGGCGGGGGGGGCGGCAGCCCCCCCGCCCCATGATGTTCGAAGAAGTGATGATTCACACAGGGTGCAATGATTCAAGAAATGGTGCGATAGAACATAACAAGCAGCGGGAGGGTTGGCGGGGGTGGCTTCCCCTATGATTTCGAAGAAGTGCACACATACAAACATACATAGATTACACAGATTACATATTGCATAAAATACTGTATTTTACAGCATTTTCTCGCGAAGTTGGATGCTCGAAAAAGTGATGAACCAAATAGGGGTGCAATTAACTCTCGGCAAGAAATCAAAAAAGCAGCGGGGGTTAGGGAGGAGGCGGCAGCCCCCCCCCCATGATGTTTGAAGAAGTGATGAAAGCCAATGAACCGGAGAGGAACTGGGAATGCAGAGGATGCAAAAAGCCCACCAAAAGCCGCGTAAACCAACAGCATCAACAGCCAAGAAGCCGAGAAGCCGAAAAGCCAAGAAGCCAAGAAGCCAAGAAACCACAAGCAGAAAAAAAAAAAAACACTCCATACTAAAAGTAATTCGGGTTGCTTGTAGCTAGGTTTCCCTAGCCACTCCCAAAAATGCGTCCAATTCCCATCTCGTAAGGCACTACTCAGCTCGACGTCCATCGCCTCCCTCCTTCACGCCCCAATTGACTCGAATCGGTGCGGGCGGATTCGCCTGGAACTCCGTGATCTCCCGGGCGTGGCTGTGGGAGAACCAGGCGAAGTGGCCCAGCAGCAGCACCAGGAGCTCGCCGTCCTGCCAGCTGTCGTGAAACATCGCCCCGCTCGAAAAAGCATGTCCCTGGGAAATGAGATGTACGCTACCTGTGGTGCATTCAACACAACCGTGTATATATATATATATATATATATATGTATATGTCTGTGTGTGTGTACTTTTATATATCTATCTATCTATATATATATAAACATATATATATATATACATACAATTATTAGACTGAGACACGCAAACTGACCTCCTTTCAAAACAGAGGTCGGGGGGGGTGGGGACCCCCAAGAACCAAGAAACCTTCCCTCGACCAGCTTCTGCTTCTGCCTTCGCTGTCCTGGGCGCTGAACTTCTTGGCGATGGCCTCCCCCAGCACCTCGCAGAAGCGCCGCACCTGGACGCTGGCAAGTCCAGCGGACTCCCAGTAGGCTTCATATGGAGGGAAGCCCACGTATCACCAGCCCACCCATCACCACTTGCGCCCAAGAAATCCCAAGAAAAAAACCCAAGCTGCCCATGAACTAAGTTCATCTGACGCTTTTGGAGCGCCTTGTTCAAAATGGGAGGCTGAGTCTGTGGATAGTACATGAAAGCTGTCTGAGTCTGCAAAGCGCCATTTGGACTTCCCACAGGCATGAGCTTGGGTCATCCCCAGGCACTTTCTATGAAGGTTCCCTCCCCACCTGCTCACGTTTGGGCCCGCTCTGGCGCAGCACGTCCACGTCGCAGCCCTTGGCCGCCAGGGCGTTCATGTCCTCGAAGGGCCATTGATGGTTGCGTCAACAAGTCGGCCGGCCCCGGTCCGAATCAACTTGGTTGCTGTTGACCCCCCTGTAAAAAGCTGCTCACTTTGGGGGGTTTAGTGGAAAACCCCCCAATATCTCAACCAAAAAGTCTAAAGATCCAACCCAATAGCAGTCAAGTCAATTGCACTCTTCGCCCAGGAGCCCAAAGCGTTGTCTTTGCCCAGGGGTGGAGGGGTGGCGGAAAGGTTTCGGATGCCGCCCGGGCTTAGAACTTTCGAGTCTTCTTCTTTCGGAGGGCTTTTGAACATCCACCCGCTGGAGCGCAGGGGTCCCTACTTAGAACTCCCCCGTGGCCATAGGACTGCGAGCCCTTCGGTGCTTCGGCGGCTCCTTCTGCCGGATGTTGTGCCCGGTGCTTCGTGGCATGGAGACCTAAGCTCTGAGCAAGCGAGAGCCATGTGCTTAGATGGGACTTAGCCTCTCCTGCATCGGCCAAAACAAGTCGATTCTTTTACCACCTCAAGCCTCTTCTCGTCAGGTCTCAAGTCGAGTAGCTAAGTGGCTTGCAGCCCCAGTTCACCCGCATGTAAAACCTCGTAGGTAAGGTTACTAGCCCTCTTTCGGGGTTGGCTAAGGGGAAACCAAAGGAACAACATGGCACAACGCTCATTGCATGAGTTCCCCCCATCTTGGGACAAACCCATATGGTTGATGTGTTGTTTTGAATGGAAACCAACAGAGCCCCTCTACTCTTGGCACGTACCTAAATAAGCTGCACCAGATTGCACCAGTATTTGGGCACAGCAAGCCTTTTTGTGATAATCGAGTTGGGATCTCACCCATATGGCTCCTTTGTCGCTCGCAAGGGGGGCGGGCCGTAGCATCGCAAAAGAATACATCTCAACATGATTCCAACAACTTGCGCGTTTCAAGAAAAGGTTCTTCATATAACCATTAGCCTTCCTTCATGAACTCCAGGCCAGCCCCCGAGCCATTGTTCAGGGGATGGGTCCTCCGCACCACCCACAGCCCCCTAGCTTCAAAAGGCAGATCCTTCCCCCATCTGCATGTCATGCAGCTATCATTCTTGGCCCGGATATCTTTTTGCCCGCGTCACCGCCGGGTCTGAGTACAGTTGGACCCCACTCTTCAAGATCCTAAACCCTTGGCTCAACCAACCCTGCCGAAAGTATCTCCTGGCCAAATGGCATTGATTCCGGTCTATATGTTGCACGCCCTCAAACGTAACATGTCAAACAACGCCCCCCAAACAAGGAAAGGAATAGGGATGCTTTTGGGGGTTCCCCGGTTTTGAGCCAAAACAAAGGCCATGAAGGCCCATTGGAAGACAACCCTTTCTTTGCAACTCCCTCACCAAAGCAAACAGAGCCGGCACAACCAGGTAACCAACAACAGGGGCAAGCAAAAGACAAACAACGCAATACAAACCGCATCCCAAAGCACTGAACAAACGGCCCAACCAAACAAAAAGTCTGAGCGGCAACCCTGCAATCCCGCCTTCGGCCTGCCCACGGACATCCACAGCTTGTCCGCGGCATCCAAGTCGTCCCTTAGGGCCTTCTGCTTCCGAAAGCCCGCGTGCAGGTGCAGCTGATCCTTGGGCTGATTGTATCTGCCTGGGGCTGTGGTCTTGGAATGCCCCGTTTTGTGCTCGGCTCACAGGAAAATCACCCATGTTGTGACACACACACACACAGCTATACATATATATATATATATGAATGGAAGGGGTTGTTCAAGAAGCGCATCGTATGGACCTTTGCTCACTTTTGAAAGAGAAGTCGTTGATTTCTCAGCCTGGGATGGAATGAAGGCCTGATTGCATATCTCCACATGAATACCCCACAATATGACCACCAAAACACATCTACCACCGACACCCACCAGCCTGCAAAACTGATGCAGGCCTACCCAAAACCGACACCCTGCTAGCATCGTCCACTGGCAACTAAAAATGGGAAATGTCTTCATCCTACTTCTCAATCGGGCACCACCACAACAGTGGGAGCCACGAGCATCGGCATAGATTCAGGATTGATTTTGAATCCCCCAGGCTGGTATACTTGTATAAGAGGGTGTATTAAAAAGAAAGGGTCACAATTTGGCCGGTGTTGGTGTGGGAACCGATGGTTCCTTGGATGATCTTGGGTGTTGCTTGTGCCCTTCTGCTCGATAGGCAGTGGTGAGCAGGGACACCGGTGCCCGCAACGTTCCCTTGCAAAGGGGCTCATACACAGGGTCCAAAAAAGGAATCTCATTTTGAAACAAGCCTCGTATACCACAAAATGATTGCGAGAAACCCGGGAGGCCCAACCCCGAACCCTTAAAAGAGCTTCTTAGATTCTGAGATCCATCTAGCGGATGGGTGTCCGAAGGATGTTGAGATTTGAGGTGCCACAGCCAAGAAACATTCTGGCCTTTCGCTTTCTAGGCAAACATGCAATTGTACGATAACTTACGCAAATGGAAGCGTTCCTGGACACATGAGCCCTGTGGCAATGTTGGACGGCTGGCGTGCGCCTACCTTTTATATCATTTTATCCAACAACAACATCAACAGCACACAACATCTCTGTCAAAAACCCTTTTGGACAACACCAACAACCCGGCTCAACAAAACAATGACAAACCAGCGAGACAAAAACAAGCAACACAAATTCAACGGGGCCAGGAGGGCAAAGGGGCAACCAACTCCCCCACAAGCAACAGCACGCCAAACAAAACCGGGCGAAATTATGCGGTTTTGGCAGCCATTCAGTTCACAGGAGAACCCTCGCCAAAGGATGTTTAAACCAGCCAAGATGGGACGTATTGATGGACAAGATTCTGCACCTGGCATGGATAGACCCTATGAATGTTGGGGCAATCCATTTACCAACTGGTGTAGGATGTTTGTCCAACCGCAGTATGAAGTAGAATGGCTATGTCTATCAAACGAGGGTTCCACGCCAACAATGGCGTGGACCACCCAAAGGTCCAAAGTTTACCAAACACCATGGACCACCCAACAGGTGCTGCCTTTTTTGTTCATCCAGGACAAAGATCCAGACCTCGGGGGGGGGGGGGGGGGGAAAACAAAACGCACACAAACAAGGCGGGCTATGGGAACGCGCTCCTCATCCGTCCCCGTGTTCTCACTGGGCGGTGAGAACTCCACGAGGAAGTTCTCGATGCCTCCCGCAACCCCGCGAGCAGAGCAGCGCCGCGCGAGTCGCGCGATCTCGCGCGGGCCCACGGGGTGCATGCGAGGACGGGGAACCACAGGAAAAGGGGGCCGAGTGCGTTCCGCGTTGCCTACATGTCCATCTCTAATCACAGGATGCTATGCCCCCCCCCAAAGCTTCCCCCCCCCCCCCAAATCCAGAGTTCCAGAATACGACCTAATAAAAGCTAATGTGGATCTCAGAATTGGGGGGGCTTTGGGGGGTGGCATGGCATGATGTGATCCAACCACATCGGTTGCCTCAGGGCATGTAGGCAAGCATGCAAACCATCATCAACCCACCACAAGGACATGCATATTGAATGGCCCCCTGATGCAACAAAAACATGGCAACCAAGATAGTGAATATTGAATGATCGTCTCAATTGAGACCAAGATGTTGAACCAGCCTTCTGGTGAAAATGCCAGCAACCAGAGTAAGTGTCCCACAGAGTTAGAGCACGTTACTTCCGAGTGGGTCACCCAGGGTGATGTTCTCTTGGGTTCTCATCAGCACTTTTGCTTGGAATCAATGCATGCGCCACAAGTGCGATTGTGCGATTGCACTGTGGCGATCAGAAATTGTATAAATTACTGTTGTTTACACGCGTAAAAGAACATTGAATTGTCGCTCGATACCCTCTCACCCACTAACATGGAACATTGGGTTTTCCCGACGGTTCTGGTAGGTTCCATCTTAATCAGTTGGCGGGATGGTATTCTGCATGTTTATGCAAAGCTCTGCGCAAATCCTTGCAGTTGGTAACTGGTTGTCCGGTGGCTTCATATTCAAACGCCCACATGGGCAAGGGTGGGACTACCAAAAGAAAGCCAAACTGCTTTTTCATTGAATGGGCCTGCTTTTTATACGGGAACGATCGTTCCTGTGAATTGAACTGGGTTTCCCTCTGTTTCCTCCGTATAAACAGCCCAACAAAGACACCACACACTTCCCTGGAAACTGGATAAACTGCTATTCCTGAAAAACATCTCTGCTTGATTTCCCTTGAAAGGTGACATGGAGCTGGTTGTTGAAACATGTCTTCCATGGGTCTCGCAAGATACATCTGTGGTTTTTCTCCATGCTGATGGACCAGCTCCTCCCACGTTGGGATGAACTAAATCGCCCGTCCTTTTTGCTCAAAGCGGCGCCAAACGTTTCGCCCAGAGCGGCGCCGCTGCTTCCCCCGCGACAAATCGGCGCCTCGGGGATTCCAGCCACCGGACTTGAGATCCTCCACCTCCAGCGGCGCCTGCCGAACGGGAAACTCGGAGAGACTTCGCCCAAGTGATCTCTCCTTAGAACAGATGTAAAGAATGAATACATATAGAACTAATATGCAAATGCACATGCACCCACATCGTATACACATATAACTTATGCATATATGTACCAGTCCCTGGGCCACGTACCCCCCCCCCCCCCCACCCCCCAATGGTATGGTCCCCCGCCCCCCATTCCCCCGCATCATCCGCATCTTGGGGATGATGCTGGCAATGCTGGGGATGCTGTCCAGTACCGTGCGAGCCCTGCAGCTTCGGTCCCAGACCCCCTTTCACCCCGTGAACCAACACCCCCGCACCTCTCGCAACATCCTACCCTAAACCAAACCACCCTGCAACCCCTCCTTAACCCCAACCCTAAGCCTAAATCAACCCAAAACCCAAACCCACCCGAAACCCACCGCAAACCAACCCTGAACCAACCCTGAACCAACCCTAAACCAACCCACCAAGCCTAAACCAACTCCGAACCACACCCAACCACCCAACCACCCAACCACCCAACCACCCAACCACCCAACCACCCAACCACCCAACCACCCCACCACCCCACCACCCCACCACCCCACCACCCCACCACCCACCCCACCCCCCACAGGGGGGGGGGGGTTGGCCCAACCACCCAACCACCCAACCACCACCACAACCCCACCACCACCCCACCACCCACCCACCCCACCCCCACAGGGGGGGGGGGTTGGGGGGGGAGGGGGGGGGTCCACGGCCTGGAACATATATATATATATATGGGATCCCACATCCTATCCCCGCGTAGTGGGACATAGTGGGACACACCACCCCAAGAGAATCCACCATCTCACAAAAGGATCAAGGATTTGAATTGAAGAACCTGGACATGTTGGAGTCGGGGCCCCGGCAAGCCTCCCTCCAATGGACTCCACCCCCCCCGAGCTCCTGCATAGTGCCCCTGCCGGGGCCGGTGGACCAGTTGGCCAGTGGCAGCAGCATGGCCAGGTCGCAGACCCGGAAGATGCTGGCCACTGCCCTGCCCCGCAGCGCCCCGGATTCCCAACACAAGTGGCCCCCGAGCCACGCCCTCCCTCCCAACCCGACTGCAAGCACAAACAAACAGTTAACTAAAAACATGGTTATACATCATACGAACGACAAAACAAATATATACAACAAAGCCTTGCGCCGTTCAGTTCGATCCCTAGCAAGAAAAACCAACAACCAACGCACCGCTTTGTTCCAAAGCCAAGGCCCAAGCCCCAAACCCCCCCCCCCCCCCACAGGCCCAGAGCCCACAGCCCCTCAGCGCGAGCCCGGCGAATCGGCTCGCCTGGGGCAATGCTTCTCCAGCGCCCGCGCGCCCTCCTGCAACACCTGGGCCTCGTCTGGGTGCGCGGCCATGGCGTAGAAGATGGCCCCGGTGCCTGCGGAAGTGCTGCATGGCTCAAACTGTGGATGGACGCGAAATCCATGCAACGCACCTGAGAAACCCAAGGGAATGATTCGACTCCCCAACGTAAATACCTTCAAACAATGGGTTCAACCATGGTTTCAAAGCGCTGCGAAATGGATTTCGTCCAGCCGCGGTAGGGTGATCTCAAAATGGGTTGCCCTGGTAAATGGATGGTGGGAACGAGCTTCCAAAATGGCGTGCGCTGGGAAATGGAAACAAGCTGGCTAAAACCTGCATATCCCGGTGGGAACAAATTTAGGCCCATTCCCACATGTGGATGGAGCTGAAAAGGCAGGCATCCCGACCGGTAAAGTGCTTGTTGTTTTCATGAGCCATGAGTAAGTTCGTGCCCTTTTTCTGGCTTTCGGGTTTCAACGATCGTGCGATGAAAAGCTGTGCGGCCAAGGAGGCCGTTTCAAAAAAATGGGGCTGATGTTGCTGGTTGTCAGTCACCACATGATATTCAAGCAAACAAGCCCGTCCGCGGCAAAAAATCAAACCCGACTTGCTGCGCAGCTGCGTTGTGGCTTAGAGTTTCCAGCAACTGCCGCCACAAACAAACACAGCTTTCGACGGCTTAAAGCGGGAAACAGCGAGGAATCCAACTTTCTCCATGTCACATCTCACGACAATGTCCTCGAGACCACGGAACTCAAACTCAAGAACTTGGGATGCAGCTAACAACAGGCAATGTGGCGCTAGGCTCACTCCTCTCCCGGCCTCCGCCGGCACGACACGCCTGCAGAGCCAGCTCATCCTCGCGCATCGCTTCCCAGGCGACACCGGGGGGAAAGATGACACGCGTTTCCCATTGAGTTAGGTCGTCGCATCGGGGCAAGCTCTAAATGGCAAGGGGCTGCCCCAAGACAAGGTCAGGGCTGCTCAAAAATAGTTTCTTCTTGGTTTCGCAGCGCTTCCCTTTCAAATCCTCCAACACAGGCCTGCAATTTTGAAACGGACCTAGCGACTGACTCCGAATCCTTCGGAGGGCCCGAATTCAAGCAATACAAGCCATTGAGCATTCAGGCAAGAACAACCTCCGTATGCACCCTTACTCCATGTTGATTAACCATGAGGCACAAACATGGAACAGCGGCAACCAAAAAGCGAACCCCGCAAACTAAGATCCCAAGCGAACCCCCGGCAAATCCGGACACAAAAGTTGCTTAAAGCAGTATGTTGGAAAACCAGGCCCTGCAAATCAATGAGTATGGACTTGCCTCCAGGTAGACAACCCTGAGCGCAAACCTGGGGACTTAGCGCAGGAGCGCCCTCCCACCCAACATGGAACCTGACTGAAGGTCCCTGAAGACTGGTCATCTTTCATGGGTGGTTCCCATATGGATGTCAAAAGAGGGGAGAACCCCAAACAATGAGGTGGTCCTTTTGACTTCCCTTTCACCAACCCTCAAAAACGACACACGCACACACACACACCCAAACTGAGGTGAACGTGTCAAAGTGAAATCAGCTTACAGAGGTCTCCAACAACGAAGGGACATGTAGGTGTTTTGCAAACAGGGGAAGCACAAAATTGGTTGTTTGCTCTTGGTTCCCTTTGAAACCAGCCAAAATGGGGTCCATTTTGGAATCCATTTTGAGAACTCACACCATATCGGGACCATTCCGCTCAACAACCAAGGGAATAAAATAAACAAATACATAGCTAAATAATTGAAGCACTAAACAAAGAAAGACACCCAATTGAATAAATCTGCATAACTACCCATATCTATGTATAGCATATATATATATACACCTGTGTGTATATTGGGACCATTAAAAACGGTTCCTTGGCCAAGGTGAAGAGGGCCCTCACCGCCGTCTTCTGCAGCTCCCGGTCGGAGCGGTGCCTGGCCATGGCCTCCACGATGGTCCGCACCCCTCGGGGCTCGTGGTTCAGGAAGGAGCTGCCCAGCCGGGCGATGATGAGGATGATCTGGCACAAGATCCCCGCCTCGGAGTCGGTCGAAAGAAAAAACGAGGAAAAAACGGGAGGAGGCGGGGGACCACAAGGCATAGATATGATATACTATGTATACATATATGTATGTGCGTGTGTGTCTGTGCCATAGATATAATTATTTATAGATAGATAGATAGATAGATACATAGATAGGTAGATAGATAGATAGATAGGTAGATAGATAGATAGATATATCTGTATATACAACTGACTGCAAGTGAAAGAATGAACATGGGAACAGAAACGCAAGGCGTAGCATGACATGAAAGCTGGGGACGAGCGACACTCATATGCGTGTCGCAAAAGGTAAAGGATTGCTGGGAACCAAATGAAGGGTGTGGGGGCTCCCGCTCCACCGCATCTTCCAAGAAGTCCTTGTAGTCTACTCGTTCCAAACGGATCCAAAAGGGCAAGAAGTTAAAGAGATATGAAATCAACTCATTGGAGCAATCCTGAGTTGTCCTCCCTCCCTGGGCCCCAAAAAAGTTACAACTTCCCGTTTGCTAGCTTCGACCGAGGCGCATGTTCCGCATGCTTCCGGATTGCCACTTCCAGGATCCGGAACACCTCGGGAATCACATAAAAAAGCCAATTTCAGCCAAGGAACTTGGATCTGAATCCCCGTTCAAATCTAAATGCCCTGTATGGAATGCCTGGTTATCATCACAACGCGTTATCTCTTAATAGCAGTAGAGCCGGCGCAGCCGCTGGGCGGAGGTTTCAAAAATATAAAAACTATAGTTATCGTTATCTTTCTTGTCTTGGTTCTTGTCCTCTTCATCTTCCTTTTCACTGTTTCTCTTTTTCTTCGTCATTATATCTTTCTTTCTTTCTGTCCTGCCTTCCTCCCTTCTTTCTTTATTTCTTTCTTTCTGTTTTTTCGTTCTTTCTTATTTGTTTTCGTTGTTGTTTTCTTTCTATTTTGTTCGAGCCCAAGCCAACTATTCCTGCCTTGACATGACCACGCGGCCTGAGCCGGCACGCGTAGCGGATTTTTCGGCTCGAGCTCAAGCCGGTCTTTACTTCCGTCAACACGACCGCTCGGCTCTATTTCTCTTTCTGTTTATCTATCTCTATCTATCTGTCCAACAATTTAACCCTCTCTCTCTTTCTACACCAAGCTAGATACCTATCTCTCTTTCTGTGCACCTATACCTATAACCAGCCACTCAATCTTTCTCAAACTATCTTGTTATCTATCAACTTTCCTATCTAGCTACATCTCTCTCTATCTAGCTAGCTATCCGTCTATCTAGCTATTTACCTCTTTCTCTACTATCTTCCTGCCCACCCACCTATCTACGTATCTATCTATCTCTATCTATCTATTCATCTCTATCTATCTACCTACCTACCTATCTATCTCTCTTTCTGTATCTATCTATTTATCTATTCATCTCTCTCTCTCTCTCTTTTTGTAAATCTGTCTACTTATTTATCGATCAGAAAATCTATATATTTATCTGTCTGTATCTATCTATCTATCTGTCTATCTATCTGTCTATCTACAAATCTCTGTTTTTCATCTATCTCTCTCTCCCTATCTATCTATCTATCAATCTATCTACCTACCTAACCTATCTATCTCTATCTATCTCTATCTATCTACCTATCTGTCTTACATTTCACTTTCTCAATCTTTCTCTTCTCTCTTTTTCATCTATCTATCTATCTATCTATCCCTCTCTCTTTATCTGTCTATCCTATCTATCTATCTATCTATCTATCTATGTATCTCTCTTTGTATATATATATATATGTTTCTATCCTTCTGCATGTCTATCTATCTATCTATCTATCTGGCTACCTTCTACCTATCTATCTGTCTATCTACACATCCCTGTTTTTATCTTGCTATCTAGCTATCTATCTATCTATCTACCTAGCTATCTCTCTCTCTATCTAGCTCTCAATCTGTACTTGACCTTGCGAAAGAGCCGCGCCTGCCACGCAATCTTTACTTGACCTGCCACCAAATCTGTACTTGACCTTGCTAAAGTGCTGCGCCTGCCACGAAATCTGTACTTGACCTTTCGAAAGTGCTGCGCCTGCCACGAAATGTGTACTTGACCTTGCGAAAGTGCTCCGCCTGCACTTGACCTTGCGAAGGTACTGCGCCTGCCACGCAACTCAATCCTTGCGACACCTTCGCGTTGTCGTGCCAATGGGCTCCGAGCCCGCTCCGAGCCCGCTCCGAACGTGGTCCGACCAGGTGAGAACAGGCTAGCTTTCCGCTTTCCGAAGACGCAACTTCACACTAACTTCACGCACAGGGCCATGCTTTTTGCGCATTTCTAGTTGCCCATCACACGCGCGCGTATTTTTTCTCTTGTTCCTTCTCTTGTCATCTTTCCCTAAAGAGCTAGCTTTCAGTTAGTTGCCGTAACACGGAAGTTCCTTCTAAACTTCCTTTGATAAGTATGACTCCTATGATGTTCCTCGTGCTTGGACATAGGTCATTCGCAAAACGGACCCTACCTCCATGTCAGTCCTGCTCAAATGCACCAGGTCGTGGACCCTTTGCCCAGCTGTGTCCTGGTGACATCCCATGCTAGAAATGGGCTCTCCGAACACAAGCCGACTTATGGGTCTTAAAAATCCTCAAAATCCGGTTTCCACTTGGGAGCTCCGGCTCCCACAGGCCGCAACGGTCCCAACAGGCCTCGGTGGCATAGCCGTTGTTGTAGAGCAGCTCCGCGATGGAGGCCAGCAGCACGCAGCACTCCAGCTGAATCTCCGCGTTCTCCTGGCTCGGTCATAGGGCAGAAACTTGGTTGACGTTGGAAGGGGAGCAAAAAATTAGTTTTTAGCAGTTAAGTGGGGATTTCCAACTAAACCACAATAAGCAAAGATGCAACATGTTTCCCAACAACAGCCATGGAAAAGGGAAAAGGCCCGTCCTGGCCTCTAATTGGTTCTTGAACACGCTATCAGAGAGACAGGCCCTCCCGAGATATCCCCAGCGCAGTGCCCTCTAACTAGTTGACTCCCCCCCATTCTTTGCAACCCTCGTTCTATTAAAAAAAAAAAAAAACCAAAAAAAAAAACGCCGTTTCGCTCTTGTGTTCGCGAGGTGCACAGCTCGAAGACTTCTTGGCCCTGCCACGACAGGCAGAGGTCCCTCGTCCCGCCGCAGGCCTGGAAGAGCTTCATGGAGGTCAGGACCCGCGACAGCCCGTGGAAGGTCCAGACCTGGACAGGGGGGTTTGCTCCCATGGTGTTAGGCATGGGGTGGTCAACCTAGGCTCGGATCTGCGGGAATTTAATGACCTCCTGACTTGGCCTTTGTCTGGGCTCCCCCCCCCCCCCACTAAAAGTTTAACTTTTGGTGGGTTAGATGGAAACTACCACTAAACACAAGGCTAAGGAACCGGATGGCTGGGCGCCACCAAGTTGTGGGTCATGAATTTTAACCTCCTAAATGGGCGAATGCCAAGGGCCAGAGGTCTGGAAAGCCGGGCTTGCCCAGCCTCAAGCTTTCATGTCTCGCTCGGTTGACTAAGTTCCCGGGGTTCCATCTTGGGAGGTTGCTTGACGCCTGGGTCTGGGGGAGGGGGGTCAAACCACTGGGCCAGCCACCGCCCCTCCCCTATGTTTGGTGTCTTCTTCGTTTTTTCTTTCTGGCACCCCCGAAGTGGCAGGTTAAAAGAACACCAACAGTCGTTTGGCCTTTGATGACCCCAAATGGTCAAGAAATGAACCCTGAACCCAGTCTTTTCGCCGCGCTCGCCTCATCCAGCTGCTTGCCCAAGGTCACCACCCGGCAGCCCGCCATCGTCACCTCCCTCGCCCGCAGGTACACGCGCCGCAGCACTCGGCAGCCCAGTACCTGGCAACCAAACCAAACAAAGCACCTGGCCGCAACCCAACCAACAAGAAAGTCTCGGAAAATGGACTAACCAACCTGGGGGGTATGGAAAAAATATCAAGCTGTAAAAAAATGTCATCACCTCAAGCTTTGGCGTTCAATTTCCTTTCAAATTTGGAATTGGAGGTATTCACCTTGGCTTTCCCTTGCGAAAATTACGAGCTATGGACGATTTGGCACCCAAATGCACCCAGCGTTTGAAGCCGGTAACTGCTGACTAAGTCTTTTGGCCCTAATATTAGCATAATGACAATCGATGGTCTAGCTTAATATGGGCCAACCTCTTGTTTCAACATCTTTCACACGTCTTCTTATACCTGCCTCTTGGTTCCCCTTAAAGGGGTATGTTTTCTGTGGTTGCAATGTCGAGAGTTCCGTGTTGCTTCTTCTTCTCCCCCCACCCCCATATGAACCATAGAAAGATCAGGTCCCGCCTGCATCTCCTGATCCCCGGGGAAGTTGTCCAGGGACCTCACGGCAAAGCCATGCATCGGGGCTGATTTCTTTTGATAAGGCCTTAGGGTGAATTGTAGATAGTGACAGCCCCTGACCAGGGGTGATGGCCCTTCCCCATAGGCCCCCTGGTCCATGAACAAAAAGATGCCGTGGGTGAATTGAGGGACAAAATCCAGGATCGGCACCACTTGGGGTTGACAAACCGAGGGGCAATTGGCGAGTCCTGGCTTGTGTAGCTGAAATGTAGCGAGTCTCCCATGACCGAAACCCTGAATTGGCCAAAAGGTCTACATCTCTTTTGGCCGAGCGCGAAAAGCTCGCAGCTTGTGGTTGGCAAGGCTTTGATTTGGGATAACAAGCCAGTCTAGCTACAACTTAGACCGACCCCTTTCTTTTGCAAGGTCCCTTGGAAAGCTCTTCTTGGAAATGTTGTTCCCCCCTAAGCGCACGTCTTCCCTGAAGAACCCACAAAAACAAGGGTTGGTACGGGGCAGTAAGGAGACGGCCCAACACTTACTGGAGGTGAAGCCAGCTTGCAAAGCTTGTAAGCATTCTCCTCGTGGCTATGGTAATTACAAAGAGGCAACAATTGTAAGTCCATCTGTCATTTCCGATCCCTCGTTTCTTCGGCACTGTGGTTGGGGCCAGGGCCGAAACAGCCAGGGGGCGCCATGAGCACTTGCCGGCCTGACTGAAGAAAAATGAGCTCCTGTCCCCATGGCGGTCGGCACCCTATAATACCATACCCAGCCATCGACACCTGCATGCTGCTTGGCAGGGCCAAGCACGATAAACCAATACCCTCAAAAACAACGTGCCAAGCTTCCAAGCTGCCTCCCTCCTCCCTCAGGCCTTGCCCCCAACAATGTCATCTTCACATTCAGTGCTTAGTGCACCTAAAAGACCCCAAGAGGGTTTAGCGGGAATAACATGTCCACAAATTTCTTGAAAGGTGCCCCCACCGCCACGGCACAGCATGATGTCCGGAGCCATGGAATTCTCGATGATGGCATCCACGCAGGGGCCATCGTGTGTCGTGAGGTTGCTGACCAGGTGGAGCCCGCGAAACACGATCTGAGGGGGGACGAGGCTAGGAGCCAAGCAAAACGTAACCATTTCACGTGCATAGGTGGCCTTTTGGCGATGGCCCTGGCAAATGGAACGCCCATCTAAACCAGTTCGACCAAACTAACCTAAAAAGGACACCTAATGCTCACGTGGTTGAGGCCCGAAGTAGTCTAAGTACAACAAACATGTTCACCTCCCCAGTTTTTTCACAGATCCCAGAACAAAGAGAAAGACAAAAAAGCAGGTTGAGGTGTAGACCTCATTGCCTACCGGTGGGTCCCGATACCCAAGCCACTCCGCAGGACCGTCAAAGGTCCCTAAATATGAGCAAGATCCCTTTGAAGTGGCCATGAGACCCTAATAAATCACAACCATCATGTGGTGCATTTCTATGGCAAAGTACTCCAAAAAAAAAAGGCAAATATAACTGGGTCCATCCAAGTGACATACGGACATGGCCCAGGACAACAGGCCTCTTTGCAGGCTCGTTTTTTGGCACCCGGAACGGAAGGCGCCTCCCGGTTGGAAGGGAAGGAGCGCATCACCTTGAGCGCCCGCTCCACGGCCTTGTGGAGCCTCAGCCTCTGGCAGTACTCCACGTCCTCCGTCTTCTCGATCATGGCCTCATCGAAAAGCGAAACAAAGGGATTGAACAAAAACACTCCGGCGGGATCGACTCATGGCGGAACACTGGCAAGCTTCAGAAGGTCGCAAGATGCAATGATGGATCGCGAAACTTGAACACACAGCCGCACCTGTGGATTTACATGCCGTACCACCCAGGGAACCTCACCCTGACTGGGGGCATTGGGAAGACAAGGTTCCTGCAAAAAGGGCCGTCTGGTGGAGTTCCTGTTCGGAGTGAAGAGCGGTTTTGGTGAAGATTCATTGCCCTCGCAAAAACCGTGCCCACATTTGCAGGGACTCAAACGAATCCACGCCTTTGATACAACCAGGAAGCGGCCTTCCCAACAAACAAATCATTTATTCAACGGGAAGGTGGAGGCAAGCAAAGCCCCAGCAATAACGGCTGGAGACTGAAAAGAATGGTCTAAAGGGTGGAAAAGGCCCCAGAATCCCGAGAAACCCAACTCTTGACATCTACCCGAGCTGGCTGCTGTTTGAACACCTTCCATTTGCCGCCCTTTTGCCCCCCGACTTGGGGCAAACGAAACCCCAATCGAAGTCCTGATTTGCTCAGCCAGTGCAGCCATCCTCCGACCGAGTTCGTCAGACGTCTGACAGTAGTGGCCTTTGCCACTGGCAAACAATTCAATTCATACTGAAAACACTGGGATCCTATCGAGTCTCTTTCCCATACTGATCCAGGTGCAAAAGTCGGCAAGCCGACACCACTGGTATATTCCACCTATTCAAACAAGCCTTTGTTCGATTGCAAGAACAGAAGGCCGAACACGTATCAACCCACACAGGATGGAGACTCTACATCCGCCCGGCGCTCCTTCTGTGCGGTTTTGGTGGGGCTTTCCGGCCTCCAGGCACGCCACCAGGGAGTGCAGCTGCGCGAAGAAGGAGTCCGTCAGGTCCAGGATCTCCTGAGAGCAAGCCGTGGATCGGGTCCGAAAGGGGTCAAAACGTGGCTGGAAACGGACCAGAGGAACCACCCAAGGGACACTGGGCTCGTTTTACCGCGACCCTTGACCTTTGCCCAAAAACTGGACCTTGCTCCCGCATTGCGGTGCTTGGGGACACGGCAAATGAGACGAGTAGCTTGCCAGAGAAGAGGAGGAACAAGCAAAACGTCCAAGCGCTTTCGCCGGTGGGCCCGGCACGGCCAAAATGGGACAACTTGCTCGACTTGGAGCAGCAGCTGGCCAGCTAGTGGAACAAATCACACACAAACACACAGACACACAGACACACAGACACACGGACACACGGACACAGACACGCAAACACACAGACACCAAACACACAGACACAACTTTCCCTACACAACTGAAGGTTGCAGCGGTCCAATATTCCCCCGCCCTTTTTTCCCCATTTTCCCGGTTGAGAAGGCTGAAAAAGGAAGGACCTTCGGTTAAAGTCCTGGAGTACTGATTCCAAAGTTATGGTGTTTCACCCCTCCAAGCCGCCCTCCAAGCCGCCCTTTGGCTCCTTCTGGCTCCATTGATTGTCTTGACATCCCACTAGTAGCTTAAAGGGAAAGCCACCCCGCTTCTGACTTTGATATCCTCCCGAACAACTGTCAAACCATGTGCTGTTTAGGGGCCGTTTTGGTGATGACGTGGTGCCGCCTTTAAGAAGGATCTCAATGAAGCTCCTTATCAAAACGTACTGTCCAAAAAGCTCTGACTCAAGCAAGCAAATTTCTCGTGTGCATCATCCCCCTCCAACCCAAGCCCCACCCTGCCTCGCCCAACCCTCCCCCCCTCAACCCTCCCTCCCTCCATCCTGCCTCACCCAACCCTAGGTCCTCCAGTAGAGAGCTTAGAATAAGGGTACCTTCTATTTCTGTAGTCTATTTTAGCAAGGGAACCCTCCCCCAAACAAGAAACGGTCAAAGTTGGCACCTAGCCGGGGGACCTAGCCTCCAACTCCAAGCCCTCCGACTCCAAGCCCCCACCTTGGGCGACAAATTCACCAGCTGACTCTTCTGCACCGCGATGGCCCCCCCCGGCTGCGCGTACAAATCCAGGATCTCCGAGCGCATGGAGGCCAAATTCGCCAACGTGGCGCTGTCCAGGTCACAGGCCACCCCCGACACCTGCAAGCGCTTCCACGAAGCCCTGGGGGCCCCGATTTTTTTCTTTGGGGGGGGGGTCGGCTTGTGGGAGAAGAAACCGCCAGAGCTTCCACGAAGCCATGGGGGCCCCGAATTTTTTGGGGGTCGGTTTGTGGGATATATGCGGCCACTGGAGAGCCGAAAATGATGCAGAAGGCGATTTATAGATAAGGAGCTGCGTTATGCTAAAGGCCACTGGCGGAAAAGAGGCACACGCCTTTTTGATTTGGAACCAGGTGGGTTTGGAAGCGTGGTATGGAGCTGCCCCCCACGCGAGCTCGCGTTTGGCGCATGGAGCCGAGGTGCCCTTCGGGGCTTCATCAGCTCCCAAATGCTCTCCGCCATGTGTGACGGGTCGATGATGTCCTGGCAGGGGTGTGTGGGGGCGGGGCTTTTTCTCCTGACGCGCAGAAAGAAACTGACCATTTCTGGGGGAAAAGTCGTCGCCTTCTGAAGCAACTCCACCCGGGCGCAATCAAATGGCCGTTCAACAATGGAAGAAGGACCTTCGATGGGCTGGTCCGAGAGGGAGTTCACAAGGCCCCTCCAGAAGGTGTCTGGTTTTCGCAATGGCACTGGCTTGCTTGTTGAGAATGCAACAGCCTAACTCGATTTGACGCATACCTATGCGGGAAAGGGCCCAGGGTCAGGAGCACTCCGAGCTTGCTTCCCATCGATGTCCTCTACATCTAGTTTCCCATACCGTCTCTGAAGGGAAGCTTCACGATGTAAGGATTAGTCATAGCGCCCCTTCTCTTCTTCCCACACAGGAGCCCTTAGATGTCCCTCTTTAACTCATTCGCAAGGCAAACTCACTTTCAATTGGCAAACGAAGGGGTGAAGATAGGAACTAACTGTCGAAGGATCTGGAAACAAAAGCCAATCACATTTCGGATTCCCCTGACAGTGGCAGAAGGTCGATTTGCTGCAGTTGCAAGTGATCCCTGCATGTTCCTCCCTCCAGGAAAGTCAACTTAAGGAGAATCCGGAACACTGTACCAACCAAAGGGATATCATTGGAGTTCAAACATTCGCACCTGAAGAGAGGAAACCTCGTGGTCAATACACGTGTACACACACACATATTTACACGGTATTCATATGGCATGTCGGGGCCACACTTTTGGGGTCAGGGCACCACCCCGTTTGAGAGGGTTCCAACTCGTGTTGCTGGGCAAACTCTCAGCCGGCCGCTTCCATTTCACCTGTCCTGGCTCGCCACCAGGGGGGCCTTCACAACCACAGCCTGCGCTCGCTTGCGCTGGAGGCTCGAATGGAGCCCCCTTGCAGGATAGCCCCAACGGAGATAATGGGAACCCAACAATAAGAAACCTCTCTGGTTGAGTTTGACTTGGGGATGTCCATTTTTTGCGAGGAACCTGGACTGTGAGGGAACCCCTAAGACTCCAGCAGGTTGATGCATCCGGCGGGGTCGACGTTACACCCATTGGAGGTATACTTATACATTGCTGCTGATTGGGTTAGTAGGCCCTCAACAAAGGTCGTCCCCGACATGTCTTGGAACAAACTGCTTCTGGCGTTCCTGGTTATCGGCTGTGGCAAACTTGTGCTTGAATGGGATCCTCCAATCTCTTGGACATGTCATTCAAAACGACTTCTGAGTAAGGACATTCAACTGCAGGAGGCAATAGCTTCAGAGTTTGATTGCTCATGTATTGGGTTAGTGCTGGCTCACTTTGATTGAAGGCGCTAATTGGAGTGCAGTTATGGGAATGGCGTTGATGGCGTGACTGCCGGCTTCGGATGCAGCCCGTCTACTATACACGTGAAGGTTTGTAAAAGCGTTGCTTTGAAAAGCTGTGCAACCAAGTTTCCCGCTACAAAGTGCCTCTCTTTGATAGAATCTCTCTAGACGTGCAGCCAGCCAAGACAAAACTGGCTGTAACTTAGTAACTTGGCCTTGCCAACGTGATGCTTCAAATGACCAAAACAGAAGGACGCAAATCGCGCATTGGAACAGGGAACCCCTGAAAGCTGATTGGCATGTGCATCCCAGGAAGGGTATGTCCAGCACAGGGGTCGGTTTCTGGCATTGTCAAAGTTTTGTTTGCTGCTTTCCTTCTGGCTTCCTAGAACCGGAAACGGGTACTCACACACACACACACAAAAAAACATATAAAGTGTGTATGTTTTTTAAATACAAGCATAATGCGAATGTATTTACGTGATTGTGATCGGCAGCTCATAAGTGCCAGTCAAACTTGCTATACTCCCTATGGACACGCATAAGCCAAAGAGTTTGTGGCTTGTGATGAAAACTTCGTGCCCTCCCCATGCTTTCCCAAAACCATGGACAACTCGGATTACTTTCAGGTGAACCTCAACTGCATGATTATGGGTTCTATTCACAGCTCCGAAGCTCCCCATGCCCCTGCTCCCCCAAATTCCAAAATCCCACAGTCGCGGAAGCCGGGGGAGCCTGTTTGGAGATCTTCGCGAACATCGGGAAGATCTCTGGGTGTTTCCTGGCGCAAACTTCGCCACTTCGGTGTGCCAGGTGAGGCGTTTACCCCCGCCCCCTTTGAATTTTCGGGGGGGGGGGGGAGCTGCCTTTATGGTAGATGTTGGGCAGGTTCTTTAGGGGAAGCGCCTGAACATTGTGAGTTGCTTCCTTGGGGTCCTCATGGAGAGGTCCTCATGGTGGTGTGTCTTTGTGTCTGTGTGTCTGCGTGTCCGTGTGTCTGCGTGTCCGTGTGTCTGTGCGTCCGTGCGTCCGTGCGTCCATGCGTCCATGTGTCTGTGTCTCTGTGCGTTTGTCTCTGCGTGTATGTTCTTGTGTCTTTGTGTGATTCTGTGTGTCTCTGTCTGTGTGCCTCTGTCGCATCCAGGTTTTGCTCACATTAATCCCTTCCCCCTAATAATAGACGACGCCCCCCCCCCTAATAAAAAAAATACCCGGCCTGCAAAACAATTGTTATTATTAGGGGTCCCCTGGTTCTGGAGGGCAGGTTTTGGAGGTACTTCTTGTTCTGTGTAGGCTTGTTTGCAACTGTGGTCCTCCTGTTCCGTTCCGTAAAATCGCTTCAAACGCACATTTCTGAGTAAGGAATTTAAGTAGCGGGAGTTGAGGTCACGTTTTGTTGTTTTTGGTTGTGGGTTTGGGTCACTCAAAGGAACCTTTTTGGATTGAGGGAGAGAGCGAGAGAGAGGGAGAGAAAGAGACCCCAATAAAAAGACAACGTAGACCCTAATAATAAAAATGGTTTGCGGAGGTACCCTTTGCTTTTGGGGAGCTTTTGGTTTGAAGCACCCTTTGACCTTGACCACCAGCCTCTGTAGCTAATTAGTTAATTGGCACAACCTGCCGGTCTCAAAGAAAACATACTCCCGGAGCTCTGGCTCGAAAGTCACAACTTTGTAGTACAAACGTAGTAAAGGAAACGTGCTCCCGGAGCTCTGGCTTGAAAGTCGCAACTTTGTAGTACAGCCGTGTAAAGGAAACGTGCTCCCGGAGCTCAGGCTTGAAAGTCGCAACTTTGTAGTACAGCCGTAGTAAAGGAAACGTGCTCCCGGAGCTCTGGCTCGAAAGTCGCAACTTTGTAGTACAGCCGTGTAAAGGAAACGTGCCCCCGGGGTCCCCCTAATGGGGCTGGATTTGAGTACGGGCAGGAAAATATCTACTTTAGAATTGGTTTAGTATTGGCTATTCTAAAAGTAGTATTCCCGGATTTGGGACTTCCGAAACAAATATTTATTATTAGGGAGACCTTTATTAATAGGGGGAAGTGATTAACTGTCAAGGCCGAGAATGGCACCGCCCCACGAGCCACGTCGCTTTGGATGCTACCGTGTCCCACCTGTCCCTGCTCTGGTCTGTTTCAGGCTCTGCCTCAGGCGGTTGCACTCCAGATTTACATCGCTACATGCCCGAATTACTCTAAACATGTTCCCCTTCGGGATGCCAATGCGCTGTCCTTTCGGGGCAATCGGACCCCGTTTTTTGTTTGTTTTTGGTTTTGCTGAAGCCGCTGCTCGCCTGATAGGATGCCTCCGGTCATCCAGGATGCAGATCCTTGGGCGTGCTTGGAAGCAAAGGAAATCTGAAAAACTCCACATCAACTTCTGCACTTCCTCCCCCAACATGGGCCAACCAAACACGTCAAGCTAAGTATAAGCGTGTTCCTGCACATCGCTGGGGAATAAACCCCGGGATCACCCCAAAGGAAACCACTAGAGAGCTAGTTCCTAGAGGGTCCTTCGCTTATTCCCTGCGTTCAAGTTGGCCATTTCTGCCCCATGCCACAAGGGAGGATTCCTAGAGTGTCCTTCGCTCATTCCCCAACCCACAAGGGAGTCGACATTCCTGGGACCACTGGGGCAGTGAGCTTCTTGACCCAAGGTGCAGAGTTTTCAGCAGCTGATCCGGAGGCATGTCGCGGCCAGCGGATTGAACCGAGGTCTGTGTCAGCGCCTGCCAGGACTGGGCGCCCTTGAGCGGTGGCAGCAAAGGCTCGGAGGCGGATTTGGACATGTCCCGCACCGTCTTGGAAAAGGCGTCCTGGAGCCGGCAGAAGGATAGCAAATAAAACCCGAAAAATCAGAGGTTCGACAGCAACCAGGGCAAGACCCGTGCCGTGAACAAATTGTTGGGGGTGATTCCATGATTAATGTGGAAGGAACCACAACCAAAGGCTCCAGAGTTGTACAAGGTCGCACTCTCTAAACATGACTTAGTCTCATGGCGACTTGTCCTTATGAACCAAACTTGGCAACCAGTGACCCTAGACCTTGCTACAGCTCCCATCCCAACCTGGCACCATTGTCGATGAGACGAAGGCCAAATTTGGTCCTTCCATTTTGCTTTGGGGGGTATGCGTGGAAAATGTAAGATTGTCCCATTCTTGGTCTAGTATAGTGTCGTTGGCCAAACACGCGAGGGTGCGACAAACCAATATCGTGATTTGGACCCCAAACATGGTCCGCCTTTCTTTTTGGCCTCCTTTTCATCAACCCCAAGCAAGGTACCTGCAACCTCCTCCACCCCCCCCCTCAACAAGGTCTCGGTGTCCTGGGTGTCCTTCAGAGTGGTCAGCGCTCGCGTCAGCG